AGAATCAAGACCCTGTTTCCTCCTGTGCACAGGGTAACTGAGCTCACCCATCATGGCTCGGACCTGTCGACAATGATGAACCAATCGATGGATAGCGTCATCTGTGCCACGACCTCTCGCATAGGCAAACTGTGGTAAACGATTCAATACATGTCCTATCTGTTGCTGTATGGCAGTGTTGAGCAACCCCATTGCCGCCTTTCCCGACGGTTCCAACAGTGCGATAGGTCGCAGTTCAGAGGGATGTCGGCCGGCCTTCCCTGGTTTAACCAGCATGGCCAGGGATCCCATGCCCCAGACAGAGGGGAAGGAGGTCTTCATGCTGCAATCATGAAACATCGGATCCAAGAATGCTGCAATGAGCTCAGCCCCATACTTCCAGAAGGGAGCCGGGGAGTACCCAGGCGCCAGAGCTTTGTGTGTGGGAAAAGATTGAAGTCCCTGTGCAAACTCCTGAATCGTGAATGGCCATGCAAATGGTGTCAAGTCCATGTCATCTGTGTGATCAGTGTAGATGTCCTGAAACCATTGATGTAGCCAGTCAGCTGCCGCTTCTGGACCAAGCAAATCACCTTGTTCAGTGCGCAACATGATGCGTTTCATGGGTTGTTTGGGTGCCAAAAGTCGGATTGATTGAAAGAGTTGAAAGTGATCTTTGGCCTGTGCTGCTTGGTTAGCTGCATGATAAACCTGAGCAAGTCGTCGTTTGCGGGAAAATTTGGAGGCCATGACCATGTCTCTCCGAGCTTTGCTTCTGTGTGTGATATGAAACCACGCTTTGAATAGTCCTGCAAGATCTGAAGTCTGCACTTGCCGTAGACCTCTGGTGTGAACCTGAAAGCGTCGTGCAGGCCCAACATCAGTTTGAATGGATGATGTAGGTTTGTCAGGTTGGAAGGTGGCACCATCAAATTGTTTGAGAGTGTCATGCAGAGCCTCAAGGTCGGAGCTGGAAGTGGTTCCAAGGTTCTCGATGGCCTCATGAAGTCGGGCACAGAAATGTGTAAAAACAAGATCTTGTTGAACACAGTGCTGATGTAGTTGAAGCCTTTGTGATCTGGTCCATCCCGTCTTCAACGGTGGTCTCTCTGGGTACCATTCTTTCCTGATCGTGGTCAATAAAGGTACATGAAAAGCTCCAGTAAGAGGTACCAGTGTGAAGTCTCTCAACAGTTGAACATCTTTGGCCATCTTGTCCGCGTGTGTGCGGCGTGTGCAAATGTAATCGATTCTGGAAGAATGTGTGCAGAATTCATAAGTTGCGCCATCACTCGCACTCCAAGTGTTGAGAGTTACCAGATCGTGTTGAGATAGCAACTGCTTCCAATGTGAGGCATCTGCATGACTGGGGCCATGACTTCTACCTTCTGAGGTCTGAAAGGTCGGATATCCAATGGCATTGGATCGCTGATCTGCAGAGCAGTTAAAGTCCCCAGCCATGATGAGAGTGTTTCTCTGTGGCAGCTTTGATAAAAGTGAAAAAAGTACATGCCAAATCTGCTGTCGTTGGTCCATGTGTGTAGTGATGCATGTGTATTGATATACATTCAGGATATCGATACTTCTGTGAGCTCCATGCAATCTCAGTTGTAGGATTCTCCCAGGTACATGTTCAAACCATGATAAATCAGAGGGCAAACAGATCTTTTTGGAGATGAGACATCGGAGACCTGCCTTCTCCGAGGTTGCGCCGGAGTGCACCGCCAGGTAATGGTCCATGACCCAGTCTCGTGTGAATCTCCAATGAGTTTCCTGAAGCAGGACGATGTCAATCGTTTGATTCTTCATCCACTGCGACTGCGTCAAAAAGTCCCAGTGATCCGGTGGAAGGCCATTGCAATTCCAGGAGAAACAAGTCAGTCGTCTTCTCTGAACCGGCTTGGGAGGGAGTACATTTTTGGGAGGCATTGTTGCATTGGGTACCTTCATGGAAACTCCCAATTGAGACGCGGTGTATATTCTTCCTCTGTACCATGTATGTCCATGTATCGAGGCTCTATTGCGAGCACGGAGAAAACTTCTCTTGCATACAGCCCTATGTTTGCTAGTCTGGATTGATTCGTGAATCTGTCTGGGCTCCAATCCATGTGTTTTCGCAGCATGCCAAGGTTCCTGGTCAAGAAGTCGATGTGCTGCTTCCACGTCACCCATGGATGTGACGTAACCCTCACCCCCAACCTCGTTGCTGTGTAAAATCAGAGATATCAAGCACAGCACAAGGAGAATGACTCGACCAAGAAGTTTACGAGGTCCTCGGACTTGGGACCGAGAGGTGGTTGTCTTCGCTGTCGTCTGGCACCAAAATCCGTAGTGCAGGAAGATCCCAATGATCTTGATACAATGGCCAACTGTCCAAATGAAGGGCCGGAAGGAATCCACGTGTAAGGGCACGTTGTCCAGCAGACACGGGAAAAACTCTTGTACCCTGCCCACAAATGAAAAAATGCCAAATTGACAAATAGTTAGGCCAGTGAAAAATTGTAAGGGAGCCAACCCCATATGTAGATCCTGGAGCCACCCAGGTCAAAAAGGCCAGAAACGAAGAGGAAGTCCAGCAGCGCAAATGTTGAACAGGCAGCCGAAAAGTGATCACAGGTTCGGCAGCAGCTGCCTGATCAGCTGCGCAGCACAGCCACAGCAACGATCACCAAGACTGGCCAGGAATTGGTGTCAACGCCGTGTCGGCGAACAAGTACCCAAACGTCGTGGGGCACCCTTGTCACTAGGACTCCTCGTCCCTCGAACCACCGGGGGCTTAGTAATAATAATGTGTGTATGTGTGTATGTGTGTATGTGTGTGTGTGTATGTGTGTCTGTGTGTCTGTGTGTCTGTGTGTCTGTGTGTCTGTGTGTATGTATGTATCTATGTATCTATCTATCTATCTATCTATCTATCTATCTATATCTATCTATCTATCTATCTATCTATATCTATATCTATATCTATATCTATATCTATCTCTATCTCTATCTCTATCTCTCTCTATCTATCTATCTATCTATCTATCTATCTATCTATCTATCTATCTATCTATCTATGTATCTATCTATCTATCTATCTATGTATCTGTCTATCTATCTATCTATCTATGTATCTATGTATCTATGTATCTATGTATCTATGTATCTATGTATCTATGTATCTATATACGTATGTATATATATATATAGTATATAGTGGCTTCATGAACGTCACTGCCGTGGCGTTTCTTTCTTCCGAGTCTCAGGCCCCAGCCGGTGCAGAGGACGAACAACCCATCTTTCTACATCTAGGTGCACTCCCAACCACATCTTGAGCCAATGTTGGTGTTCAAAACCACCTGGACCTGGGTCAACCTGGGTCACTGTCCAATATTTTTGCAATGGTGCAGCCCTACTGACTGAGAAATCCAGTGTTCAGCAGTGCTTCAGCAGCGATTCATTGGATGTTCAACTGAGAAATCCAGTGTTCATACGTGCCATGGTCCAAACATGCTATATGATCTATATGGACATTATATGCCATGGTATATGGGGGCTATGGTCATCCAATCGGAATCGGAAAAAAGAAATTCCAATGGATTGATGACGATGACCATCCATCCCAACAAAACAAGTTGTCAACCAACAAAACCCACGAGTTTTTGGAGGCGATTTTGACATTTTGACCACATTGCCAATTCTTTTGGTGGGTTAAATAATCCATGTTCATCAATTATATAATGAGTTCATCCCTGTTTTTCTTGATGAAATGCCCCTTTTTTCCCCTCCCTCTCGCCCAACTACTGCGCGCTTCCCCTTGCCACAGCTCAGACAGTGCCATGTGGAGGTCTGCACTCAGTGCCTTGCCAACAGGGCACTTATCATCCATAAATGGTCAAGACCCTTGACTTTGGAGTAGTTGTGGAGCATACCGCATTTGATTTCCAACCATTGGCAATTTTCCAACACTTAGGATATAACTAGACTGTAATTGTACGCCAGTACGTCCCATTTACACACCATCTACAAACCACTTATCGGTTCATCACTACCCCTGCTGCGCAACGGTTAGTATAGTGACTTCTCTCCCACCTCGGTGAGGCACGTCACCAGCAGTGAATCCACCTTGGTGGTGAAATCTCCGGTCGAAATTTGGATCCCCCAGGTACCGGTGAAGGTTGAGATTGCCCAACTGGAGATCTACCGGTGAAATCCTCAACCACGTCACTGGTCGGTCGACTCACCGTTTGCGTGGCGATGTCTCTGAGGTGCTCACATATTCATGCCATCTGTGTTCGGGAGCCAGGGAGATGATGTTTGTGTGAACCCAATGTGAGCGAGTCTTACAGAACACATAGGCACATGGTTTTTTGTGTTTCATATCATTCCCTGTTCCAGTGTCGTATATCTAATTTATACACAGGGCTTCACACTTTTCTGCTGCACCATATTGAACCTCTCAAAGACTCACTCCAGCCCAAACGGCACAGGGCTTCGCTCAGCTGGCAGTCGCCTGCGCAGTTTCACCGTCGTGCCAGCGCGCTTCACTGGCAGTCGACTAGCAGAAATGGCTTTGCAATCTGCTCCTGACTTCTGGCCAGGCTCCTAAAACAAATGTCCGTGGTAAATGGATGTAAATGGTAAACCCAAAACCATGAACTGTCCCCATAATTTTACCAGAAATGGGTTGTATGTATAAACCATCCCCAAAAGGATATGTTTGATGTGTTTCAATGTCCTTCACCACACAATACATCTACAGCACAAGGCACATAGCGCACCGGATTGGGTCAGATCTGCAGCTTTCAGCGGCCTCGGACCTCACCCTGCGAAGATACAGCTCGTATTGGGTAAACCACAGGTGATGTTTGCGATACAAAAATTGTCATAAATGAATATGAATAATATGAATAATATGAATAATGAATAATATGAATTACTATACAGTAAATTGTTTCTCTCCATGGGATATATCGGATACATTATATAATTGTTTCATATTGGTTCTCACCACCGCCACAGGTCTGGACCAGCGTCGCCTACACCAAAGGCTCACTCGCGGCGGCTCGTCGCCGACGAATGCTTCTCCACTGTGCTGCGACCTTGCTGGAACAGCCAATGCCAAACCAGCATGGAAGCAAACCCACTGATGCTAAACCTGTCGAAAGCTACTGCACATATCAAGTCACTAAGTCATATCAGCCATGGCACGATTATGCATGGTCAGGAGTACGTTGATCATCAAAAAAAAGTACCCTTCATCCAAACGCATCACGTTGCCGGGTCCCAGGCTTTCCGCGGAAGGCTGATGACCCAACAGATGCCCACAAAGAGGAGGACGAAACCAGTCCAGGTGCAGAAGATTGTGAAGGTCCATCCCCACGCCTTTGCAATTTTCTTCAATCGTCTTTCTATATCTATGTGCTTCGGCCTTACACGGCTAAGCTTTGCAATTGAGAATCAAACAGACAAAGCGCCAGTGCTGGTGTATTCATTCGCAACCTCAGCTGAAACAAGCACGACCATTCAAAGTCATTTGTCAGGGCAGCAAATGAACTTTTGGACCAGGGGGTTCCCCAAAACAAGAACGAGCCGTGCGTGCAGTGCAAATGTTCAACACACATCCACAGACACCGACTGAGTCAACACATCTGCCAATAGAACTTTCAAGCATTCTGTTGAAATTATTTGAAATGCCAATGACGCATGTTATTCAACTCGAAGACCCTTCCAAATACAACTTGCAAATTGAGGCATGGACATTGACTGACTTGCAGTACCTAAACAAACCGATTCCAGACGATATTCCAACACAGTAGTCTTTGCGTGCGTGTTTTTCGATGTGAATGTCTGAATGTTAGTGTGAATATGCGGGAACTACATTAGATTTAGAAAAATGCTAATTGTGGATGAAGTACAAGAATGCAACTAATGGCCAGGTGTTGTAGTGTTCAAATATTCCATTTTTGCGAAAATCACTCCAGCACTTCTACACAAAAAATCACAATAACCAGTTTGTGGGCTCTGGTGTAGAATCGTAGGTGCTACAGTAAGTGAAAAGGCGAAAAACATGGTCGTGGTATTGTCTTTTTCGGCAAGGCAGGTTTCTTTCTTTCACATTGTGTTCAAGCGCAGCCTCCGAACTCCCAATACAATAGAATTCTAAAAGAACCAGGGGAATGATTCAGGGCTACCCAGAGCCGCATGCGACACACCTTGGCAAAACACCAAAACAAAACACCTTCGGGGCACTTGTCGTAGATGGCACCCAGCATCTCTGGACTGGAACCACCGTTGAAGATACCTCTGCTCAACCGGATATTCTGGAAACCCGGCAGAAGTGCTTCCAGCAATGGTTTTAACGGAGAGCGGAGTCGTGATTTAGATGGGACAAGTGATGGCAATATCTATTAATGGAATTGTGGGTTCCCCATGTTCACACCCAAACCCATATGGTGGTTTCCTACAATGGGGGTACCCCAAAACCATGGATTTCAATATGATATACCAAAATAGTCTGAGTTTGGATACCCCTATTTTCGGAAACCCCCACATCTCCAATGCGATGCTACGCATTTTCGCTGCCAAGTCACCCAGTTGTGCTCCATCCGGCAGATCTGTGCAAGCTGTGCCCCAGGCGTCATTGACCTTCCCATCAGGTCAAGTTGGCCCAAAAATGAAATATGTCATGTGTATTGTATATTATATTACATTATATTATATTATATTATATTATGTTATATTATGTTATATTATATTATATTATGTTATATTATATTATGTTATATTATATTATATTATATTATATTATATATATATGTTATACTGTATATCATATTATATATATATATATTATATATTATATATTATATACTATATATTATATATTATATATTATATATTATATATTATATGTTATATATTATATATTATATTATATATTTTTATATTATATATCATATAATGTATATAGTATATATTATATATATATTATATATTATATATTATATATTATATATTATATATTATATATTATATATTATATATTATATATTATATATTATATATATGGTGTATATATATATTATATTATATATTATATATTATATATTATATAATGTATATAGTATATAGTATATATTATATATTATATATTATATATGATATATGATATATGATATATGATATGTATATTATATTAGATATGATATATATATATTATTATATATATTATATTATATATATATTATTATATTCTATTATATTATATATTATATATTATATGTTATATATTATATATTATATTATATATATTTTATATTATATATCATATAATGTATATAGTATATATTATATATATATATTATATATTATATATTATATATTATATATTATATATTATATATTATATATTATATATTATATATTATATATTATATATTATATATTATATATATGGTGTATATATATATATATTATATTATATATTATATATTATATATTATATAATGTATATAGTATATAGTATATATTATATATTATATATTATATATTATATATGATATATGATATATGATATATGATATGTATATTATATTAGATATGATATATATATATTATTATATATATTATATTATATATATATTATTATATTCTATTATATTATATATATATATATTATTGTATATATATTATATTATATTCTATTATATTATATATATATATTATATTCTATTCTATTATATTATATATATATATATTATAATATGTGTAGTAGAAATAGTATTAATAATAATAATAATAGCATTATAAATCAGTTATTTATTAGAAACAAACAGAACCTGTCCAGTATCCGCTGCCTCTTAAAGGTGGAATGCATCCCTTAGAACCCACGTGCAAGATCGCACCATCGCCAAGGAGCTAAGTGACGAGTGAGGTCTGCCATGCAGAGGAAGATTGAGGCCAGGATACAGAAGAAGGGACCTCATTGGAGGATTCGAAAACTCTAAGCGAACCTAACCACACTAGCCCAGCTCGCACAAGTCGAGATGTCAAATGCAGCGCATGTCTACGGTGTTTGCTGGAACTGATGACCCCAAGGTTGACACTTCCGAGCAACTTGGCTGTAATCCAGCTATCGTTGCTTCAAGCTGACTAATTCCCCACTAATCATTGTTATTTATTCACCCATATTCAACCATTGTTGCTTCAGGTGATGTCTAAAACCCAAGGTTTGCCTGTGCGGAGCAGCTGTTGACTCAGCACTAGATTTAACATACTATTGCCAGAATTGTTGATGCCTCTGTCCCTCATAACTGGTTGGCGCCAATTTGTTTGACGTCACGCATCAGGAGCGACATCTGGTCCCCAAAATTGCTGCTGACGTCACTGAGATCACCACCCCATTTCCGCATAAACCTGGAAGCCCAGAGCTGTGCGAGTTACGGAACTCATTAGCATGGGCAAGTGACAGCTGTTGTGGGTATCCGTATTTACTCCAAGCAGCTTATGCAGAAGTCTGGGAAAAGTCACTGGTCTTGCTGCTCTGTTACCAGTCGCCTCTCACTGTTGGAATCTGAGACTGGAGCCTGTAATCCTTTCGAGACTGTCTTGTCTTGTTGAAGACAAATTGCAAGATCTGCCACAAAGAACGTTAGGAAAAAAAATGTATCCGACGTGGGTTCCGTTTTGAAGCAAGATTTCCAGGACGATATGGCCATCATCTTACACATGGTTTCATCTCAGGTGGCTTCAAACATACCCCAGGTCTGCTGAATCGTGCTCATGGCCCGCACATTGGTCATGATGGCCAAGTTAATGCCCCAAGTCAGCGCGTGCACGAAGGACCGTGACGAAGACCTGGCCAGTGATCCCACCCAGAGAATGGAAACTGGAAGTGAAATTGCGTCTTATCTAAGAATCTTCATGTTCTTTGAAGCAAATTGCGTCATCTGTATCACTTAAAAGTCCAGCCCCAATCAACCCCATCATTGGTTGCCATCATTGGTTGCAAAAGCCCAGCCAAGTCAACCCCAATCATTGGTTGAAGTCATCATTGCCATCTACCCCTGAGCTCCCCCACGTGTTGATGGACGCCAAGCCACTGAAAAGTCCCGCGAGCAGCAAGGGCCAACATCAGCTGCCTCAAAATTGGGGATTTACCTCTAAAATGGTCATTTTAGTAGATAAAAATAATATAAAATAATGCTATATTAATCCATGGACCATGCATTTGTGTACCAATGGATATATTCACTGTGAAAGGAATTTGGATTTGTGATTACAAAAGTTGCAGTCAGATTGATTCATCAGTGGATATGGACAATTTGACCTTAGTTTTGTTTGGAAAATCTGCAGGAAACCGTGGTTTTTGCTCCAAATATAGGGGGTCCTGCAGATTTTCGATTGCACCAATTCCACTGATTTATAAATGTCAGCATTGGATCATAGATCCAAAAACCGTGGCTATTTGGATCCTAAATCCCACTCCAAAATGGGTGGTTCTTTAAATGGGAGATCCCCAAAACCATGGCTTTCAATATTAAAATTGTGTAATCTGGATGATTTGGATGATTACTTAACCTCCAATTGGCGAGTTGGATCCTACATGGCTTTAGCGTGTCCAAACTTGGACCTGGGTAACTTCGATCATGCGCCAAAGCCACCAACCAATGCAGGGATGGAGAACAGCAAAGTCCTGGCCAACAACTTTTGAGTGACCCCAAGATCCAACTGCTAGTGATGATCTGATGTAATTAATAATTAGTAGCTATCAGAAAAATGTGGTAATTCGTGTGGTTAAACCAATTGGGAATCCTATCTGGAAATGCAATGGGTGATTTTTCCCAAGCCAAGACTTCGCTTGCAGCGGGCGGTCCCGATCGCCACGCAGGTAGACCAACGGTCCTCAGCCATGGCTTGAACGCTGGAGTATTCCATCAGGGCATGATTGATGGACCAGTTTGCCAGTTTCATTTGCAGTTCTCAAGGTAGCAATCAAGATAGCAAAAAAGATGCAGTTTTGGGGTCTTCCGCATTTCCATCATTTCCCTCTTTTTACTGCCAATCTTGCAGCTCAATGGAAAGCTCACCCGTCCTGTGTGGTGATCGCCTCGCTGCTTTCGATGTTTTCAGCTTCAGGTGGCGGTCTTAGTGGGTGCCAGTCTGTAGCATGGCTGGATCTCCTCCGTCTGCAGGACTATGTGTGTAATCTGTCTCATACCCTAGATTTAACTGATATGATAGATCGATAGATTGGATAGATTGGATAGATTTGATAGATCGAATCCCTTGCAAACTCCATCATTTTCAGCCTGAGGTCACAGGTCAACCGAGCTTCCGAACCCTCAGTTGCCGGTGGTGCACTCTTCGGCCATCCTGAAGCCATAGCCACCAGGGAAGGCCATGGTAGTTCTTGGGAGCTTCCGAATTATTGAACTCATCTCCACAAAAATAGTGTTATTGAGTTTTTTTACCCCCCAATGGGCAATGTGACTGCCTATATCGTCCTGAATGGCAGAACTTGTTGGATGACTTTCTCAACAGTACAGCAATGCACAGAAAAACTGTGTCAAGACATGTCGAAACCTCGACGGCCAGGCTGGCAACTTTGTTTGGACTGAAGTGTGAGCCTGTAAAGCTTACCAGGAACGTGTTGAAAGTTAAAGCATTGTTTCAGTCTGCAAGACTAGACTGACTAGACTTCAGCATGGATTCAATGTCTTTGCCAACCCAAACTTTTCAACATTCTTCAACCTTTGCAGTGCCCATGCAGCTTTCAAAATTCTAAGCAGGTGATGCCTCACGGCCCTCACGGCCGGTCCTCTGAACAAAAGGCGCCAAGCGCTGATGGTCGAAGTCTCTAAGCCAAGTGCTGCGACCCTTGTGACAAGTTGTGACAGGAACAGTCGGCATCCTAAATTTGTCAAAAGAAACTGACGTGAAGGGTGCAAGATCTCGATTATGAAGAAACTAAATATGAAACTTGCAAAGTTGTGTACAATTGTCATTGCCTGGTTTTTTCCGGTCTTTCAGCCCCTCCAATGCCCTCTTTTCTTTCCAAGGGGCGCTTTGAGGCGAGTGATCTTATCGTTCGCACGAAATGTGAAGAAAAACGGCATTTTGACAGAGTACTTACTCCCAAGGTGCTCACGACTGTCGTGGATTGTAGATAGCTGTCGGATAGCTGTTTCCGGAATTGCTTTGCTTCAAACCATCGCCCAAACGACTCAGATCTGTGGAGCGAACACGAGACGATTTTCGTTCGTGTGAAAGTTTTCTAGCTTGGGAAAGCGAAACAAGCGATGGCGGAGCGGGATTTGATTCTCAAGTCCTGCCTCGCAACGCTATGTGGCAGTGAGCTCTATTCCAAAATGCTTAGAATCTTCGTTGTTCTTTCCTTTGTCTCTTAGCTGCCTTAGCTATGTTTCCTCAACCTCCAACTCTGAGAAATTCCGAGCTCCATAGACTCCATCCATGATCCATAGACTACCAGGATCTCTCAGGCGTACATGACCGGGTTCTCAATGACGTCATCCTGGAAGATGGAGATGCCAGGCCTCCAAGGTGCCATTGATTGGTAAAGTTAGAAAATATCATGCCATCTACTGGTTGAGTGGGGATTATTATAACAATTTATAACATATTATATCCCATATTTCGGATCCATTTTTGGGACACTTGTTATGTCAACTTTATGCCTATCAGATCCTATCAACCTATTGTATCCCCTTGATTTTTTGGGCTAATTTGGGCAGTGCACTCAGCTTTCCTATGAAGATGTCACCAAGACATACCAAGACCACAGGGTCGAGGAGTTTCTCGATCACCATCTTAATGCAGTCCAAGTATGTGCATTCTGACTGGTTCCGGTATGATATGATATTTGTATAATATATATATAATACATATAATACATATAGTATAATATAATACATATAATTTAATATAATAATAATAATAATAGTAATAATAAATATATATATATATACATAAAATACATATAATACATATAATACATATAATACAGAAAAAATACATATAATAAATATAATACATATAATACATTTAATACAATACAATACAATACAATATAATATACTATGTTATAATATAATATGATAAAATATACTATAATATAATATAGTATAATATACTATAATATAATATACTATAATATAATATAATATAATACAATACAATATAGTATGTTATAATATAATATAATTTAATTTAATTTAATATAGTATAATATAATATAATACAATATAATTTAATATAATCGAAGGAAGTTTAGAAGTGAAATTTCCGACAATATGGACAGTTGAAAAGCAGAGGTGAGAAGAGTCAGAAGAGACAAGATCAGAAGAAAGAAGAGGTAGATGCGCGAAAAGATAGGAAAGTCGCGATTCACTGTGTTTTTTCAATGATTTGTGGCTCCGGAGGGTCGAAAAGTAGGCTCGCTAAAGCGGCGGGTGCGGAGCCAGCTGGCCAGATGAGACATGGAAAAGTGCACGCCGTTGTGGCGCGAAGCAGATTTCCAAGTCAAAATGCACAAAACACCAGTGTCGGACCACTTTTGGAAGTTGAGATGTCAAAAAAGTGCACGCCGTTGTGGCGCGAAGCACATTTGATGTAGAAAACACCTCAGCTCCGGACCACTTTTGGAAGTTGCGATGTCGAAAAAGTGCACGCCGTTGTGGCGCGAAGCACATTTTGAAGTCAAAATGTGCAAAACACACCATGGTCGGACCACTTTTGGAAGTTGCGATGTCGAAAAAGTGCACGCCGTTGCGGCGCGAAGCACATTTGGAAGTGAAAATGTACAAAACACCTCAGGTCCGGACCACTTTTGGAAGTTGAGATGTCAAAAAAGTGCACGCCGTTGTGGCGCGAAGCACATTTTGAAGTCAAAAGTGTTAAAAACTGACGGTCTCGGACCACTTTTGGAGGTTCAGATGTCGACAAAGTGTCGAAAAAGTGCACGCCGTTGTGGCGCGAAGCACATTTTGAAGTCAAAAGTGTTAAAAACTGACGGTCTCGGACCACTTTTGGAGGTTCAGGTGTCGAAAAAGTGTCGAAAAAGTGCACGCCGTTGTGGCGCGAAGCACATTTCGAAGTCAAAAGTGTAAAAAACTGAGGGTTTTGAGCCTTTTTTGACGTGAAGATGTCGAAAAAGTAGACACTGATTAACTTAACTTGACTAACTTAACTAACTTCACTAACTTAACTACCCTAACTTCGACGACAACAGCAACAGCAACAGCAACAGCAACAGCAACAACAACAACAACAACAACACCAACACCAACCACAACAACTACAACTACAACAACTACAACTGCAAAAACTACACAACAACTACAACTACAACTACAACTACTACAACTACTACAACTACAACAACAACAACAACACCAACAGCAACAGCAACAGCAACAGCAACAGCAACAACAACAACAACAACTTCAACTACAACTACAACTACAACTACAACAACAACTACACAACAACTACAACTAGAACTAGAACTACAACAACAACAACAACAACTACAACAACAACAACAACTACAACAACAACTACAACTACAACAACTACAACAACAACAGCAACAACAACAACTACAACTACAACAACAACAACAACAACTACAACTACCACTACTACTACAACTACACTACACAACAACTACAACCACACAACAACTACAACTACAACAACTACAACTACAACTACAAAACAACTACAGCTACAACCATATGACTGCAACTACACTACACTAATTACATTACACCACAACTACAGCTCCACTACGCTACAACTACAACTACAGTTGCAGTACATCACACTACATCCAGCAGTTGTGGGTGAGGTGACCACTGCAACCATTGCAACCATTCCAGTAAACACAACTCCAACCACCCTTCGGTCAATCAGTGGCTTCGCTCTGCCATCCCTGATTCACAACAACCAACTTCTCCTATAGGTTTCCTATTTTTGAAACTTCCGCCACCGCCTTGTGCGGTACTACTGGTATAGTATAATATAATTTAATTTAATATAATATAATATAATATACTATAATATAATATAATATAATATAATACAATATAGTATGTCATAATATAATATAATAGAATATAATATAATTTAATATAGTATAATATAATATAATACAATATAATTCATTATAATATAGTATAATTTAATATAATTTAATATAATTTAATTTAATATAATATAAAATAATGGTTATGGGGTGGTTTTGGGCCTGTGGTTTTTCAGTGGTTTTCTGGTTGCCTTTCTGGGAAGCTGTTTGAAGTTGCGCGGCAGCATTGTCCTTTAGAGTGGGAAGTGTCTTTAGGGTTCACCTTAGAGTGAGGAAAGCTAAATCAAACCAAGGGTTCACCTTGGAGTGAACGGGTTCAGTTTAGAGTGGGAAGTGTCTTTAGGGTTCACCTTAGAGTGAGGAGAGCTCAACCAAACCAAGGGTTCACCTTGGAGTGAAGGGGTTCACTTTAGAGTGGGAAGTGCCTTTATAGGGTTCATCTTGGAGTGAGGAGGTGCACTTTAGAGTCCGAGGTTTCTTGACAAAAGGAAGGTGCCCCGAAGCCTAATAGCAAAATCCAGAAGCAAACCTTTGAGAGTAAGTAGTGTGAGAGCAGCTTGTCTAAGCACTTCCCCAGGGAAAGCCTCTTAAGGGAGGGGGGGGGTGGGGGGGGGGTTGGAGACTCTTTGGGGGTCTTGGTCTGGACCTCGATGTTTTTGAGGGTGTTGAGTAACAATTCCAGACTGTTCCATACTCTTATCAATGCCCCTGTGCAACACCCTCAAAAACATCGATCTTGAGCAGGCCCGTTACCACCCCGAAGCCAAAATAATATGATTTAATTTAATATAAAATAATATAAGATAGTATATTATATTATATATCTGACATGATGTGATATGATGTGATGCCAAAGTTCCAGGACCTTCACCCAACAGTATGTCTCCCAGCTGCGTAGCTCCGGCCTGTGATGATTGCCCTTTGTAATCTGGGTTGCCACCCGGTACAGGCCTTTGCTCCGCCCAAAGGCTGCTTCATTCTCTGAAAAATGGCCCCAGGACCAGCAGTCCTTTCCAAAGGCTTCCAGTGAGACTACACAGGAACACTAAGCAATTTCAAAATCAACGCATCATGAAGTAGAACCATCCGCTAAATCATCCAGAGCAATTAACTATAAAATCCCCCATAAACAGGATTGTACTAGATCAAAAAAAACATATCATGGGGCGGCTCAGTGATCATCGCAATTTCCTGAGCTCCTCACGACCTTGACGTGCCTTCAAGTCCGCGCGGACTTTGGCCATGGCTCCCTGCCACGGTGGTTTAGCCGTTTAGCCATTAGGAAGTGAAATCGCTTCACCATCACCGCAGGATTGACGATGTAAAATTCCAGCTAAATAATATTAAATGATACTAAATGATACTAAATAATACTGAATAAAACTAATGGTTTGGCAAGACTACCTGGAAAATAAGTAGATCAAATGGGTCTGGACGCTCTGCCTTGACCATTTCCCCACACTGCCTCCCCAATGGGAATGGACAGCTCAGAATCTTTGGAAGGCACTGGAGGCCTCACATGCACCGTGGGCTGCACCAGGTTACGACAACTACGACAACATCATGTGCTCAAGGTGTCCATTGGAGTCAGCCAAGGCTGTCATAGTGACATAGTGCTGAGGCTGCCAAGGCTTGGGCTTTTTGCCGCCATAGTGGATGTTCTGGAGTGCCGCATCTGGCTCATACAGCCAAGAGCGCTGAGTCCTTGCCAGGAACAGATGGAAAAGCGCACGCGTTGTGGACCCTGTCAGGCACAGCATGGGGTTGAACAGGATTCAGGAACTTCAGTATCTCTCACTTGGCACAAATCGGAAGGTGATTCCACTCTTTCAACCATCCCAGCTGTCCCAGCTTCTCTGACTATCCATTCCTTTCCCACTGCCTGGTGTTGGAGCCTGGGTTGTTCGAATCGTTATAGGCCTCCGAGGCATCACAGAACCAGCACTGGCCGCTCAGCGGCCCAGCCCCGCCCAGCAGTGCCTCACCACAAAGGGTGCCCACCTTCATCCCATGAGCTCGGCCCTGGCCGCTGCAGGTAGTAGAAACCCAAGAAAAACCATCAACCTACAGGGCTTTGTTATGGGTTTATTATTGCTTGACTACGGGTTTCCTATGGGTTTACTCCAAGATTGACCAGTAAACCACACAGTCTTAATCGACCCCTGTATGGATATTTAAGGCATCATGTGAACGTATCGCAAATTCCCGACCATCCAGGTAGGGATATCCTCATGCGAACCCAGAAGCGGTGTTTTTTCAGAAATAGAAAGTAATAGTATTATTGGAGGTCACCTCCACAGAGCAAGTAATGTATAAATATGTATAATGTATACAATAAGCCAGTTCAAGCATGTTCAAAGCACAGCCTCTGCCATTTCGGTGCTGACTCCCGCAGAATGTGGAATCTCTGCGGCATCGCGCTTCTCCTTCTTGCGACTTCCCTGTCGGGGAAAAGCTAAAGAGGGCAAGCCCTGGGAATAACGAAATGAAACGTGTTGAAGATTGGGACTCTGATGAAGATAATATGAGATAATCTGAATTCCAACTTGTTGAGTCAATGAACCCTTAGCATTTGAAGTTGTTGAATCACTACACCACTCACCAGACATCTTGGTGCCCGATTCTTTTGATCTGGACCCGCTGGCAATAACCGAGACTCATCGCCTCTCCGTAGAACTCGCCATGTGTGGTACTGAAAAACCGCTGGTCGTGGTTGTCCTTCAGAGGCGTTCAAGGTGCTTGGTCGCCCCAACAAACCGATTTCGATGGAAATTGCAGCTATCTCTCACCAAAAAAAGCAGAAAATCAAGACAGCTGTTGCTAGCCCCGCAAACCCTCGCTGTGGCTCCGAGCAGGATGGCGGCTGATGTGGGCACCAAAGCCATTGCGTGGTCCTGGGAGTTCCCTTGTCTCCTCAGACGAAGTTGCCAGGTCAAACGGAGAGTAAATCTCCGCTGCTGGTTTTTGGTCCAAAATTGGACGGTCCATTTTCCAACTTCTGAGACCCACTGAGACCCACTGAGACCCACTGAGACTCAAGTGCTTTTCCATCTTGGTGCCCCAAACAGGTGGACAGACCGGTGCGTTCGCCGTGGTGATCATGGAGGGGGCCTTGGCAGAAATTTTCTGGCAGCTCTCAGGTGTTCGCAGGACCTGAGGAGGCAACGATGGCCTTGCCTTTTCCCCAGTCATTTCGGCTCCTGTCGCGATGAAGCGATATGAAGCGTAGCTTAGAAGCACATGTGAAGCACATGGTCGCTGCTGCGTCACTGCTGTCGTCATGGGATGTGACATGTGACATCTGCTCCTGGGATCTTTGAAGTCACCCAAATTCGTGGTCCCCTGCAGTGCTCCAGCAGGTGACATCTGGGACATTCCCCCCCTTGAGTTTTTGCCTGACAAGCCCTTTACGATGAAGACTGGCTACCCGGCTACCATACAAGCCCTGAATGCAAGAAAGATGTCAAAGGCAGAGGGGTTCAAGAAGAATCATCTACAATCATATCAATTATAGACAGGCCCAAGTCTTGGTGATCGAACGCACTGTGCCAAGATTAGTTGGGCCACAATGTTGGCACAACGCCCTCTTTCTCCCTTGCGGTCATGCTTGGGGTGAAACAGGCACCAGCAAAACCGAAAAGCAAACACTCGAACTCGTTGAAAAGCTGGGCCTATCAGAGGTTTAGTCAGTTTTGTCAACACCAGATTTGCTGCTTGGCTGCGTTTCAGTCTGCCGACAACCAGGTCTCTATGGGTGACATGAGAGCAGCAGCCGCCAAACGCGTCCGTCTTAGCACTCTCAGCAATCCTGGCATGACAAGAACCCGAGAAGCCCGCTAGCTGCCTCTAGCTGGTGTCGCTAGCATTCAAGAAACTTCAAACCCGCCACTCCTGGGAGTACATTGTAGCTGGCACAGGAAAGACATCAAATTTGAGCTCCTTGATTTTCCAATTTATGAAAACTGAAGATGGTTTTCTCATGTTTTCTCTCTTCACTTTGTTCCCCCCCTCCATCTGCTCCAGCTTCCCATCCAGCGCCTTCATTCTCCCATCAACGCCTCCAGCACTTTGTTGATGCGCCCTCTGAGGTCCTAGTCGTGGATCGCCATGGGCCGAGCTAGGTCATCCTCCATGAAAAATCCACCATATACCCTCTGGTAAACTAACATAGCCATGGAAAATGGCCCATTTATAGATGGTTTACCTATTAAAAATGATGATTTTCCATGGCTATGTTAAATAACCAGAGGGTAATCATCCATAATTTATATATTCATCCCCAAATGCAGAAATCCAACTGCTTGCCAAGCAGCTCCACAGTCGTGATGTTTTTTCTCGACCAGGCCCTCCACCTGCGAACGTTTCAACCCTTGAAGGTTGGATGTGGTTGGATCAAAAAAGTGGAAACCATGGAAAAAAATGTCGAGGAAAGCCCTTGGAAACCCGTTAAATTTCTCGCATTCAATTGACCTCCAAATGAAACCCCAGCACATCTTCCAGCTGCTCAACTTTTTTTCAGAAACGCCCTGCCAGTAAGGTCCGCAACTTCTCAGCACTCACTGGCTGGGTCTTGGGTTCTTCGAGCCCTTGGTTCAAACTCCACATGGGGCTGGCCACCTGGACCACCTGGACCACCTGGACCACCTGGACCACCTGGGGCCCCGACGTTCTGCGACAAAGTTCAGCAGCTTGGCCTAGCCAAAATTGGAATGGGTCATTTAATATCCGCCGACCCCGGCAGACGCAAGGGGGAGCGCGCCAGGGAATAAGACAAGCAAAGACAAGCAAGTTTAGCAGCAAGAGCAGCGGCTAGCAGCAAGAGCAGCGGCAGAACTCTTGTGGGTCGGCCATGTAGGAATGCATGGTTGTCTTCGGATAAGCGTCCGACGCGAAGTTCGGCTTGCAGGGCCTGTTCGTCCTTCCGTGCCTTGCTGTTTTGGTGCCGGGAGGTGCTCTTGCTACTCTTCTGTTAGCAGCAGCAGCAGCAGCAGCCGGTGAGCTGATAGGAGATTGAAAAAGCGGAAAAGGTTGGGAAAAAGACATTTTTTCTAGGAATTCAGAAGAGACGTTAGGCACTTTTTCGGTGCAATTCTAGGGCCTGTTCGTCCTTCTGTGCCTTGCTGTTTTGGTGCCGGGAGGTGCTCTTGCTACTCTTCTGTCAGCAGCAGCAGCAGCAGCAGGTGGGCTGATGGGATTGAAAAAGTGGAAAAGGTTGGGAAAAAGAAAGACATTTTTTCTAGGAATTCAGAAGAGACGTTAGGCACTTTTTCGGTGCGATTCTGTGGCATGTTCGTCCTTCCGTGCCTTGCTGTTTTCGTGCCGGGAGGTGCTCTTGCTACTCTTCTGTTAGCAGCAGCAGCAGCAACGGCTGTTTTGGTGCCGGGAGGTGCTTTTGGGCAGCAGCAGCAGCAGCAGCAGCAGGTGAGCTGGTGGGAGATTGAAAAAGTGGAAAAGATTGAGAACAAGATATTTTTTCTAGGAATTCAGAAGGGACGTTAGGCACTTTTTCGGTGCGATTCTAGGGCCTGTTCGTCCTTCCGTGCCTTGCTGTTTTGGTGCCGGGAGGTGCTTTTGCTGCTCTTCTGTTAGCAGCAGCAGCAGCAGCAGATTGAAAAAGCGGAAAAGGTTGGGAAAAAGACATTTTTTCTAGGAATTCAGAAGGGACGTTAGGCACTTTTTCGGTGCAATTCTAGGGCCTGTTCGTCCTTCCGTGCCTTGCTGTTTTGGTGCCGGGAGGTGCTCTTGCTACTCTTCTGTTAGCAGCAGCAGCAGCAGCAGCAGCAGGTGGGCTGATGGGATTGAAAAAGTGGAAAAGGTTGGGAAAAAGAAAGACATTTTTTCGAGGAATTCAGAAGGGACGTTAGGCACTTTTTCGGTGCGATCCTGTAGCATGTTCGTCCTTCCGTGCCTTGCTGTTTTGGTGCCGGGAGGTGCTCTTGCTACTCTTCTGTTAGCAGCAGCAGCAGCAGCAGCAGCAGAAGGTGAGCTGATGGGAGATTGAAAAAACGGAAAAGGTTGGGAAAAAGACATTTTTTCTAGGAATTCAGAAGGGATGCGATTCTAGGGCCTGTTCGTCCTTCCGTGCCTTGCTGTTTTGGTGCCGGGACGTGCTTTTGCTACTCTTCTGTTAGCAGCAGCAGCAGCAGCAACGGCTGTTTTGTGCCGGGAGGTGCTTTTGGGCAGCAGCAGCAGCAGCAGGTGAGCTGGTGGGAAATTGAAAAAGTGGAAAAGGTTGAGAAAAAGACATTCTTTCTAGGAATTCAGAAGGGACGTTCGGCACTTTTTCGGTGCGATTCTAGAGCCTGTTCGTCCTTCCGTGCCTTGCTGTTTTGGTGCCGGGAGGTGCTCTTGCTACTCTTCTGTTAGCAGCAGCAGCAGCAGCAGGTGAGTTGATTGGATTGAAAAAGCGGAAAAGGTTGGGAAAAAGACAAAGACATTTTTTCTAGAAATTCAGAAGGGACGTTAAGCACTTTTTCGGTGCGATCCTGTAGCCTGTTCGTCCTTCCGTGCCTTGCTGTTTTGGTGCCGGGAGGTGCTCTTGCCACTCTTCTGTTAGCAGCAGCAGCAGCAGCAGGTGAGCTGATAGGAGATTGAAAAAGCGGAAAAGGTTGGGAAAAAGACATTTTTTCTAGGAATTCAAAAGCGACGTTAGGCACTTTTTCGGTGTGATTCTAGGGCCTGTTCGTCCTTCCGTGCCTTGCTGTTTTGGTGCCGGGAGGTGCTTTTGCTACTCTTCTGTTAGCAGCAGCAGCAGCAGCGGCAGCAGCAGCAACGGCTGTTTTGGTGCCGGGAGGTGCTTTTGGGCAGCAGCAGCAGCAGGAGCAGCAGCAGCAGGAGCAGCAGCAGCAGCAGCAGGTGAGCTGATGGGAGATTGAAAAAGCGGAAAAGGTTGGGAAAAAGACATTTTTTCTAGGAATTCAGAAGGGACGTTAGGCACTTTTTCGGTGCGATCCTGTAGCATGTTCGTCCTTCCGTGCCTTGCTGTTTTGGTGCCGGGAGGTGCTCTTGCTACTCTTCTGTTAGCAGCAGCAGCAGCAGCGCAAAATTAAAATATAGCAATGTCGAAGCCGCTCTCCGCTTGACCATTGGAAACGTCAAACAATACCTAACACTCAAGGATCAATAACAGCAATACCACAAGGTATCTGCGATTCACACATAGATACACAGATACACAGATACACAGATACACAGGTACATATACATATACATACATATACATACATAGACATACATATACATACATAGACATACATAGACATACATAGACATACATAGACATACATATACATACATATACATACACATACATACATATACATACATATAATTATGTATACATATATATATATATACATACATACACAGATATATAGATACATAGATACATAGATACATAGATAGAAACATACATAAATGCATGCATGCATGCATGCATAAATATCAACATCAATATCAATATGTACATATCCTTGTTGGCACTTTCAAGTATTTTTCTTTCGCATCCTGAATAATGAGATTGACTATTGACTATTGATATTATTTCTATCCTATTGCGACATGATCCAGGACAGTCTATTATCCCAATTGACTATTGATATCGAAGAAGCCTCACTGGAAAAGCATTTCTTTATCCCAATTGATTAATAGTTGTACCAAGCAGATATTACGTATATCTAAATTATTGTTGAATTATTTGAATAATATTACGGCCAGGCGCTTTGTGTTGCCCGGACGGTGCAGGAGCAGGTGAGCTGATAGGAGATTGAAAAAGTGGAAAAGGTTGGGAAAAAGACATTTTTTCTAGGAATTCAGAAGGGACGTTAGGCACTTTTTCGGTGCGATTCTAGGGCCTGTTTGTCCTTCCGTGCCTTGCTGTTTTGGTGCCGGGAAGTGCTCTTGCTACTCTTCTGCTGCAGCCCTTGCTGTTTTGGTGCCGGGAGGTGCTTTTGCTGCTCTTCTGTTAGCAGCAGCAGCAGCGGCAGCAGCAGCAGCAACGGCTGTTTTGGTGCCGGGAGGTGCTTTTGGGCAGCAGCAGCAGCAGCAGGTGGGCTGATGATTGAAAAAGCGGAAAAGGTTGGGAAAAAGACATTTTTTCTAGGAATTCAGAAGGGACGTTAGGCAGTTTTTCGGTGCGATTCTAGGGCCTGTTCGTCCTTCCGTGCCTTGCTGTTTTGGTGCCGGGAGGTGCTCTTGCTACTCTTCTGTTAGCAGCAGCAGCAGCAACGGCTGTTTTGGTGCCGGGAGGTGCTTTTGGGCAGCAGCAGCAGCAGCAGGTGCGCTGATGGGAGATTGAAAAAGCGGAAAAGGTTGGGAAAAAGACATTTTTTCTAGGAATTCAGAAGGGACGTTAGGCAGTTTTTCGGTGCGATTCTAGGGCCTGTTCGTCCTTCCGTGCCTTGCTGTTTTGGTGCCGGGAGGTGCTCTTGCTACTCTTCTGTTAGCAGCAGCAGCAGCAGCAGGTGGGCTGATGGGATTGAAAAAGCGGAAAAGGTTGGGAAAAAGACATTTTTTCTAGGAATTCAGAAGGGACGTTAGGCACTTTTTCGGTGCGATTCTAGGGCCTGTTCGTCCTTCCGTGCCTTGCTGTTTTGGTGCCGGGAGGTGCTCTTGCTACTCTTCTGTTAGCAGCAGCAGCAGGAGCAGCAGCAGCAGCAGCAACGGCTGTTTTGGTGCCGGGAGGTGCTTTTGGGCAGCAGCAGCAGCAGCAGGTGGGCTGATGGGAGATTGAAAAAGCGGAAAAGTTGGGAAAAAGACATTTTTTCTAGGAATTCAGAAGGGACGTTAGGCACTTTTTCGGTGCGATTCTAGGGCCTGTTCGTCCTTCCGTGCCTTGCTGTTTTGGTGCCGGGAGGTGCTCTTGCTACTCTTCTGTTAGCAGCAGCAGCAGCAGGTGGGCTGATGGGATTGAAAAAGTGGAAAAGGTTGGGAAAAAGAAAGACATTTTTTCTAGGAATTCAGAAGGGACGTTAGGCACTTTTTCGGTGCGATTCTGTGGCATGTTCGTCCTTCCGTGCCTTGCTGTTTTGGTGCCGGGAGGTGCTCTTGCTACTCTTCTGTTAGCAGCAGCAGCAGCAGCAACGGCTGTTTTGGTGCCGGGAGGTGCTTTTGGGCAGCAGCAGCAGCAGCAGCAGCAGCAGGTGAGCTGATGGGAGATTGAAAAAACGGAAAAGGTTGGGAAAAAGACATTTTTTCTAGATGCCTGCTTCTTGGTTTGCAAGCTGGCGATGGTGTATACATATAAACACACATACACAACACGACACACACATATGGGAAATGTTAATCGTGCTGTTTCCTCTTTCCCCATTTTTCCGGGGTCGGCGGCAGGGGCGGCAGCCCTTATATATTTAATTCTAATTGGGACCTTCAGACCTTCACCATCCTTCACCATCCTTCACCATTCTTGGGGGGCGAAATCTTGGGGGTTTCACGTACCGACGTCCATCACCATGGGATGGTCCACACCTCCACCTCCTCAGGGGCCGCCGTCAACTCCGAGGGAGCGCCCCTCGTCTCGATCGTCTCGATCGTCTCGGCCGTCTCGGCCGTCTCGGCCGTCTCGGCCTTGGGTCAAGACGGTCGAGCGCTCGAGAAGGACCAAAAAACACAGCTTCCGAGTTTGGATGATGCAAATGATTTTAAAACCGTCAAGTTGCATCAAGTTGCATCAGATCCGTCCACTTTCATCCCCACTTTCATCAAATTCCCAATCCAAGTTCCAACCCAAATGATCCAAAAATCCGAAGATGAATTGATGTCTGTCGCTCAGGTCACCACTGTGGATTTCCCCAGCCGCGGCAACAACCACTGCACGAAGGTGGAGACCTGCTGTGCCTTGGATCCACGGTGGAAACCATGGGAAAAACCGAAAAGCCATGACTTTTTCCATCAGATCCCGGGAACGCATGGCTGCTTATGGCTGCTTTCTGTGGTTTTCCCATCGAATATGGTGTAAAAGCAACGTGGATGTGTCATGATGTGCCTGTAAGACCAATCCATTGAACCAGCCTATATAGATTCTGGCTCATCGGCCGATCGCTCATCTACCCACTTGTTGATTTCTAAAAGACTATGTTACTATGTTCCAACCATTTCCAAAATTTAGGCGTCCAATTTTAAGCATTCAATCTCAACTCCTATGGCAAAACATCCGTCAGCTGCAGCATCTTTGGCCTTGACAGGTCTCGCTTTGGTGCAGTCTTCTTCACCCGGAGCATCTGGGAAGTGTTTCCCAATGAACTCCTGATCAAGCACGGCAGTCAAACTTGATCCTACTGCGTGCTCCATGTTTGTTTGGTAAGTTGATGAAGAAAATGATGAGAGGCGCCAGGTGAGCTAAGGACAACAGAAAGCCAAGGAAAACCTATGTCCAATCTGTTCTATGCGGTGGTTCCTCAATATCCCGCATCAAAATCAAGTCGCTGCAGCGGGAACTGATTCCATAGCCTGCAGAAGGTCTGTGAAAACCCAGGTGAACACTCTATCATCTCGATCCAGGGATAAAAAAAATGCAAAACTCTCCTGTTTCTGCATGATGTTGCATTGTTTCACGCATGATTTGCCATGATTTTGCAAAATTGTAAACAAACCTGTCGTGAGGATAGCCCTCACGAAGGCCCAAGCGAAAAAGCGCAGCTTTGAGGCCCACACTGACACCAGCACTCAGCGGGAAGTGTTCGAAGAACCACATGGCCTGGCAGGAGCAGGAAACAGACGGGAAACAAAGACGTAACCGTAATGTAACCTGTCTGTAACCTGTCTGTAACCTGTACATCTGAGATAAGATCGTAGATCTGAATAGATCTGAATAGATGAATTATGATGAATTGAGATCCCATCAACATGCTCAGCCATAGTCACCAAGCATATTAGACAACTCTAACCAGCCACGCGCACCATTGATGTGGTCTCTGGAGTAAGTGATTGCACGTGATGCCACCAGTATGGCCTCATCACGTCGATCTCTTTCGAGTCACAGCAGTGCACTACCAAGATGATGCTGTGACGCTGAGAAAGTGGCGGTATGTACAAGGCTTCACCTGCTTCTAACTCCACCTTCCGGCAACGCAAATGAGCACCCAACTGGGCCTGCACAAAAGGACAGGCACCCAGTGCTTGTACCAGGGCTAGCACCATGTATCCTGAAGCGCCACTCCATTGCGGGAAGCGGACATCGTCAGGAGCATCCAAGTCCACCATGCTCCTGCTCAAAAAAAACAAGATTGGCCACGAATGACCAGCTGAGTAGCCACATCTCTGTCACTACATTGTCACTACATCCCAATATGGTCCAGAACAATCAGAACGGTGCTCCGGCAACCTCTAGGATACTCTCATAGTGGAACAACCTCAACCAGCCTCCGGTCCAGGTCGTGATGAACTGGGAACGGATACAAGTGCTTCCAATCCTGCCAGGTTGCAGCCATCAAAGCCCATGATGAGTGGTTTGTCCATGCTTGTCTCGACAAAACGCCAAGAAAGGTTGATCCATTGGTCTGCATGAAAGCATTGCCATTCTTGAGACTTCAGCATTTTTGGGATCCTAACAGCATCGCTAGTGAGACTTGAGCGCAGATCATGGTGACTTTCAACAACTTTGGCACCACCATACCTGAGTTCTGAGCACTGCGCCTCTGGCGGAAAGAGGATGAAACGCTTCCTCCCTGTCAACTGGACATGCCTAGGCCACAAAATCGAGGGTCAGGTAGCTGGACCGGCCAAAACCAGCAACCAGCGCTAGGCAGCCGGGCAAATTGGGCTGCAAGTCATAGTGACAATGGTAGAGCCTCAGCCCAGCAGAACCCCCAGCTTTGGGCCCGCTTTGAGTTACCCGAGTCCCCAACGTTCCGCCCAGACCGGCAAAGAGATAAAAGCGCTGCACCAACGGCAGAACATTCATCTCCTGGTAGGGAATGAACTGCATCAACGCTGGCCTGAAACACCGGAGTCCTGCGGAGTCCTGCCATTCCTTGATCAGGTCAAATCGAATGCTCCACAAGTCGTCCGCCATCTCTTCATCAATCCTTGGGCAGTGCAAACGCATCGCCGAGGATGGCAAATCCTCTTTCCACCGCTGTGGTGTATCGAACCAGGCAACACGTAGGCTCCACTTAGACTCAGTGACTCAGTCCACGCGGTGTACAGTTGTGAAAATGGGCAAATGGGTGTCATCAAAGAGTCAAAATCCCTGCCAGAGCGTCTGTCCAAGGTAACCATTCTCCTCCTCTTTGAACCTGTGCCGAAGTGCAGTACTCAAGCCCAACCGGCCCAACCCAAGAATGCGACCAAATATCCACTGGGCAGTCTGCCACATCATTTCTGAGTGGGCACATCTGCTGGGCACTGCTACAAGGTGGGCACCTCCAAAGCAAATGGACACCAAAGTAGGGCAACTTGCGCTTCCCACCTGCCATATCGATCTGCAAGGTCTCAGCTTGGAGAACAGGGCGCCTGTTGATGAAAGCATTCCTAGTGTCTCTCGGGAACTGTTGTGTTTGGGTAAGTCGCACCAACAGAAACTTCTGCATCTTGGAATGTAGATTTAGATGATTTAGTCTTTCTATGTCCAAAATTCATCGAGATGTTCCTTGTGCCCTCACATCTTGCTAACTATGGATCTTAACGTCTCATCCCAGGAGAATCTCGCCTGACTCCCTGAATTGCTGCGCATCTGCTAAGAAGTCTGTGAAAGTCATCCTGCCATCACGGGGCGACAGGATGTGACATGGCACACAGCACAAATAGGTAGAGAAGCTAGCTTGGTCTCTAGAAAACAAAGAAACTGTTGTAAACCCAAGAAGAAACCGTCACCAATTTTGCCAGGTTGGTAAAATGCATATATACATATATACATATCTATATCTATATCTATATCTATATATACATTGGTGGCCGAGGCATGGTGGCATCCCGGCCTCGTCTGATCAGAGGTGCTGAAAAGACCTGCACGGCGAATTCTACTGGCTCGATCTGGTCATTTTTTGCAACAAAAGGTGACACCAATAATCATCCAATTTCATCACCTGTAATCATCCAATGTTATCCAATTCTGCTCATTTTCGACCAGAAAAACTGGGTCAAAAAGATTGGTGCCACATGGCCTTCATGGCCTTCGTCTGATCCTTGTTGTCCCAGCTCCGATCGTTCCACCTGACGTTGACCTCGCCCAACGTGTGCGGAGAGGGCATGGCATGGCCAAAAGATCACTGAGCCACGGGACCGTTCCGGGCCGAATGGCTCATGACCTCAAACGTGGTAGGGCAATGGGCAAGTAGACTTTGAAAAGTAACATCAAAATATATGTAGACATGTAAAACGAGTTGTCCTTTACAAAACTGAAGCGAGCATCTTGTACCCATACCATCCCATACCCTCATACTTCATCTACATGTGGACACTCATGTCTCTCAGCTCATAGCAATCTTGCCAGTGCCTTCGTCCAACATGACACCATACCTGTATGCAGGGTGCTCTGGGTGTTTGGAAGAGTTAGCATCCGCAGTTCCAATGTTTCACACACTGAAAGAAACCAGCTATGCCAGTGGTACATCAACTATCCCATGCTTGGCAAAGGTCATGCATAAGACTGATTGAAGAATGATGTTGGCGAGGCATTGGACGGTTTTCTACCATCATACCACTTTCACGCCTTTGTGACGCAGGGAGGTGTTTCTTCAAGTACTGAAAGTCCCACTGAAAAAGCCTCTCATGCGGCGAGCAACAAACACGCAGGAGGACTTATAGTCTGCAGATGTCTGCAGTCTCGGAATGGATCGCTTCTTGTGTTTCCAACCCCATGATGCAGAAGAAAAACCAAACCTGCCACATTCGAGCATCAATCTCTTTTCATCGCAAAAAACAGTTGAATCAAGGTCAAGCCGGTCAAGCCGCTGGCTGAAACTGCTGAACAGTGCAGCTTCTTGACAAATCCAGGATCTTCTTTCCATCTAAGATACCGTAAGATTTTTCCATCATTCCAAGAGATTTCGCAGCTGCGCCAAGCGCGCAGCCACAGGGAGCTCCACTTCAAACGAACTTCAAACGACCATCGCGACCTGGCGGCATTCTTTACAAGGCAGCTCAGGAGCTGCGCGCCACTTCGTCTGCCAATCGTCCTTGTAGTACCTGGGGGATGCAAATGCCCATAGCCCATAGGCCCATAGGACTATCTCCAGGAGGTGTGTGTCACTTTCTTCGACTTGCATGCAGCATTAGGCAATCTTAGACTCAGGCAGAAGAGAGGCGAATGGGCAAGCTTTGCCTTCGTGCTAATAATAAGGATGGTGTTTCTTTGTGTTATACGTATATTGATGTAATTAATTATAATTATATGTGTATATATATATATTTATTTATTTATTTGTTTATTTATTTATTTACACACATCAAAGCAGCTCTTGCGGATGTTCTTCCATATGTGTTTCTTCTCCCCGTCCGTGTGGCTAAAAACCTCCAAGGTGCTGCACAAATTCTGCCACGGTGTACACCTTGCCATCCTCTGCCAGGCGCTGCTGGGTGGCAGGGCTTGCAGCGTGCCACTCACTCTCCCAGTTGCTGGCATAGTAGATGCGGTACTGGCTCACCTCAAAATCCACAGCTTCAGGTGGAAAAACCTGGGACTGGATAGAAGGCTATGATCCTGTGGCGATATCATCTACCTCTGAGATCCAAGTGGCTGTGTATGCTTTCCCATCACGCGCCATCTTCATTTCAGGCACACCGTTGGCCCATTCCTGTCGGTAAGTGTCCTTGTAGTAGTCCTGGAACTCCTGGTTGGACCCCCAACGGTGCCAGTGAACCGTGGCAGGGGAGTGTGGGTACAGTGCACTATGACTATCGACGATCTTCTGAAAGAAAAGAAAACACACAAAACACACTACCAGCAGGCTCATGGCACCATTAGAGCAAGCAATGAGTCGCCACATGCAATTCTCCTTCAAGTTCCACCAGCTAAAAGAACAATGGTTTCCCAGCTTAGTAACTTTCCACATCGTTTCCACTTTCCACAGCTCTGCTCGTCCTTGACGCTGTAGATCTGCCCATCTTTGGCATAGCGCCTGGCCTCGCCGTTCAAGTTGGTGCGCATGGCAGAATCCGAGGCGTCCTTCAGGCGCTGATCCTTGCTGCCCTGTGCTGCCTTGAAGGAGTTCGTCAAGGCCACGGGGTCACATCCCAACTTCCCCAGGTCCAAACTCTTCGCCTGCGCCTCGCTCTTGGGCAGATCGATACCTGGCGATGAAAATGTGACGTGGACATGTCAGACATGTCATGGGACATGTCATGGGACATGCTGTGGAAAATGTGGGAGATGGAAATGGAGGGAGCTGGGTGGGTGCAAAAGCTGAGGCAATTGAAACCTGGCTCCAGCTGAGGTCCAGACCAAAGATGGAAACCAAGGTCTGAAACAGAGCTTTAACCTTGCGATGCAGGATGCAAACACCCCACCATAAAGGCCAGAGGGGAGTGGTCAGCGAAATTGTCGGGATAGCCAGTGTCCCCTTTCCAAATCAAAGTGGACGATCCCAGTTAGAGAACCTAAGCTGTAGCTGACCCAAATTGACCCAAGTCGGCCATCCCCAGATCAGGTCGCCTGATCCGCTTCGGCGTAGGCCTCCACAAGTTCAATGCTTCGGGTTTGCGCTTGGGAGCGAGGAAGATCCACCTCCCTGATGCCATACCTCAGGTGGGTCAGACATCCCCAGCTTTCAACATCCACAGCATGGCATGGCTGGATCAACATGATCAACCTTCAAGGCATCAAGGCAACAAAGCATCGTTGATCCAACTTTGATCCAAGGCACAGGGTGCCATACATCTTGGTGAGCTCATCAGGATCCACATGCTGCTTGGCCAAGGGCAGCAGATTCTGCCTGCAGAAATCCATCGGCAGATCCAAGGCGGAGGTGCCGTACAGAGCTGCCTTCAATTTGGTCAGGTCCTTGGCCACATGGGAAAAAACGGCCCAAATTCACAGGAAAGATTGAAGAGTAACACCCAGATTTTTTGAAATATTCCACCAAAATCAGAATGCATAGCACTTAGCAGGAAAGCAGACCTGCAAGTTGCCTTTTCCAGTCCAGTCAAAATGCGCCTAACATTAGACGTCTTTTCCCAGCAAACGGCCAGGCCGAGCGTCCTGGACGCTGACATCACACTGAGTCAGAATGGGCGCCTCCTGCGATGGACCGCCCAAGGAATCGTTGTTTTCCAAACATGACCGAAGCAATGTTGGAATTCTCTCTGGTGACTCTGGTTGTCTGAACCACATCGACCATCCTGCCTGCTCCGCAAGCTTTCGGGCATCAGACGTCATGTAGTTGAAGCCTGGATAATCTGGATACCAATGGTCAGTGCTTGGGGAGAGTGAGTGATGAGATGACCACTGGCAGTCACTGGCACCTTGAGCGCTTGCAAACCACTGGGCGAGTTCATCCACGGACACGGCCGCAGCTCGCGCAACGAGTAGCAAGAGAAAGGAGCGTAGGGCCATGGCACTGTCGATGCTTTGGCTTCTCGCTTCGCGTGGGTCGAATTTGGCTGCAACGATGCAGAAAAAATTCACTGGGAGCTGTTGAGGCTTGAACACTGGCGTTTCATGTTTCATCATGTTGAACTCAAATAAATCATGTTCCAAAATGTCCCGTGTCAAATGTGCAACCCCCATGCTGCTCCGGCTCCGCCTTCGCCCCAGCAAACCTTCGGCCGGAGCCACAAAGGCCAGGCCTTCGCAGAGCAACTCCTGGGCCCAGCAAGCTTCGCCACATGGAATGATGTCGCTATTGCATCAATAGTTCTTATAAATATGTCACTAATATGATGATCTATCATTACTAACTTGATAATTATCAGTAGTACTATGATTATTATGTATTATGATAATTACTATGATTATAAGTCTTCTTAAGCATAATTCATATAATTACGCATATATTATTGACTATTCTTACTATCATTATAATATACTGTACTACTATATATCTATATATCACTAGTATTATTGCGATTTACGATTACTATCGATATGATCATTGTGACGCTATCACCCAGTATTCTTACTATTCAATACTATTAATATTTTATCATATTTTGTTACTATTGAATCATATTGAATCTATTCATATTTTGTTATGATTCTATCGATGATTCTCTGAATATCGTGCTCCTGCGCCTCGCTTCCATCCAATCGCTCCAGCCGCGGCACTTGGCCGTGGATCAGCTGGGCAGGACAGCGCCTCACACGTGACGCCGGCAGTGGATTTCCCCAGAAACTCTGGGGATGTCATGGGATTCTGTGCCAATGGAGATTGAACCCACAAAAAATGGTGATTTTTATGGGGGGTTGACATGGATTTTTTGGTGATGAATGAAGATTTCACCAGGAATATGGATTTATTGCTGGGAAATCCCTGAACTAGGAGGTTTAGAGCTGGGAACATCATGGAACTAAATCTGGGGGAATTGTCCAGCAAGCCATGTTTGATTACCAAAGGGTTGTTATGATCTATCAGTGGATACATGTTTTCATCCTGTGGTCGTTTGGGTTGGTGGTTTGGAGGGTCTAGAAATGGTCTCTAGAAAATTGAGACTTGATCCAATGATGTTTGAAATAATTGGTTTTTAGAAGTCTAGTCTGTGATGATTTTCATGCTGAATCAAATCATGATAAAGGAAAATGCGTTGTGCTGTTTCCATACATGCTAGTTGCCGTTTTTCTCCGGTATGATTTATATCTTAATGGAATGATCTGGCTCATCAGTTTTAAACATATACCATTAGCCGTGATGGGTCAAGTCCTTCCAGAGGTGCGGCTGAGACGGCAGAACCTTGACCAGAGCCATGTTTTGTTTCCCCTTGCGGTGGGCACTGCTTTGTTTCCAAGGGCAATCAGCGACCACTTGACCTTGGCTACCTTGATACTTTCAAGTCTGGCTGGGTGGCATGCCACTGGATTCAGTGGCTACTGGTATGTTGGTTCTGATCATAACTCTCGCTGCAATGGCGTCACATTGCTGACTTCCAGCTTTGCGCTATGGGTCCTGTGCATCACAACCTTTGTAGCATATGGCCTGTCCAATGACCCTGCTTTTGTGACGAGAAATCTGGAAGGTGCAATCTTGCATCGCTACCCTTTCTATGTTCCTTTAGAAACTTTGGTCATGGTGGTGCGCGTGCTTCAGTGATTGCCTGACCGGTCCGGATTCAGTCGTAGCAACTCAGCTTGAGTGGCATTGGACATGCAAGTTGTAAGGAAAATGGCGTGCTGCTAGCTAGACTTCAGCACTTTCAGCATAGGAGTTATTGCTAGCAGTTTGGCAGCTGGTTGGCACCACAGCCACATGAACGAAGCGGAAGAAGACATGGAGGAAAAGTCGTAACACACCCGATTTCTAGATCCATTGTTTCGACCTGACCTGCACGACTTGAGGCTCAGGCTTGGGTCGCACAGCTTTTGTGTTTTTCTCGCCCTGGCCTGCTAATTTGAAATTTGATTTGTCAAACGATTCTTGTCAGCTGTTGAGTCCCCTAAGTGGTATTCTTCTGGCAGCATCAGTCTGCCAACAAAATAATTGTCACCAGCTGCGCTTGTCTGGTGCCCAAGTTAATGCCCAGCAGCGGCCTGTGGACTATGCTCGGAAGGTGGGTGAGGGCCAACCAGAGCTTTCGCCCATCTTTGATGTGTGTACAAAACAGCCCGCTGTTTCACCTCAAGACTGGCCTCGCCGCACTGCTGCCGCCGTGCGCGAGTGCTCCAATCGTCCGCGCTAAACATATACCATTCTATGCATATATATATAGTTCTACCATGAATCATCCCGATCTTGGGCGACCCGACACTGCAGGCGGGAGCTGGCGGCATGCCTTTTTGTGTGACAGCCAATCTGCTCGCTGACATGAGGGGCCTCAGGGGATGGGATGGTATCGGCCACAACTGGTATCCCATAACTGGTGAGTCAAGAGTCAAGAGCTATCTGCAGTATTCCTATGACATTTAAATTTAAATGATGGCTTTTCTGGAATAACCCATCAGCATCCCTTGTCTTGATGTTCAAAGTTTTCTGCCAAGTGCAGCACCACAGTAGTGTGCGGCTTTGCATTTGGAACACACCTAGGAACTCATGGAACCCGGGGAATTCCGGCCGGCATTCCCATGAATCCGAGACTCCAAAAAACGGCTGAACTGCTGAATGGCAAATGGTGAAAGTGATTTGAACCCATGATTGAATACCAATTGCATCATCTCACATCAATGACTACTGTAAGATGATGATACCATTGAATGTCTGTACCACCAACTGAATGACTTGCGAAAGTTTGCATTTCTCATAAACCGCTCCGCTCCGGCTCGGGCTCCGCACCGCCGGTGCCCCAGTCTTGCCACAGTGTGCACAACTGACCAACGCATCGATAGCCATGAGCCTGAAAAGGGGAAATGTTGGAATCTGCAAAGCTTCAATTAAACACCAAATATATCCAAATATATCAAATGTTGTCTTGTTGCACTTGAACGATGAGCAAGGAAAGCTAAGTAACTGCCCTCCAACAAGGAATCACATCGAAAGCAGCAATGAGATGTGGCCTGATGCAACCATCGGGGTCATTCACAATGGAGCATTACGCTTTGATGCTACGCTGATCGCTGCTTCTATCTGCCGCTTGTAGTTTGGAACAATCATCATTTCAGATCTGACACCAGCTGCGCTCAACGTGCTGGGGGTTTGAAAATTCTTTGATCGTGATCTCTGTTGTCTCCAATGTCTCCAATGTTCTGCAAATGTCGTGTGGTTGCTGTTGATTGCTTAGCCTTCAACTTGGTGTACCTGTTATTTGACCTGTGATTTGTCAGCTTCCAACTATATCCAGCTGCGGAGAATGCCGAATCATCCACCAGCCATGACGAACAACATCGGTGCCACAGCAACGAATTCCAACAGCTGGGGCGGGTTGGGCGAAGTACCTTCTTGGAATCGCCCATGTTCACAGGAGCTAGTCTTCTCATGACCTCGGCCACAGCGTCAAACGAGACACACGTGCGCTGCCGAGAAAAGAAACTCTCGGAAAAGAACCACTACATAATCTACATACCAATACTATTTCCAATGGCCAACATGTTCCAACATATGGTGTTTTCGGTGATTTCCACATGGTGCACATGGCAAGAGTTGCATGACTGTAGCACTGTTGAAATCCCCTGCCTCGTCAAAGCCCTTGCCTCCGGTGTGGATGACCTGTCGCGACGACGGGGCTACCCAAAAGCACCATGTGGATCCACACAGAGTGGATTTTGTCGTCACCTGGTCGTTACCAAATTTGGAGAGTCGATCTCAACTTATCAATTCCGGTATACGAAGGGCAAAGGAAAACACAAGTTGAATTTCCTTTGATGAAGCACAACATCAGCCACATTTTGGTTGGCACTTGTGCTCCAAGTAGCCTTTCCTCTGACCTTTCGCTGTGACCATTCAGGGATGGGGGATGGAGAAACCTCAATGCGTCCCAAAAAGGAAAGCACCACATGACAAGAGATGCCAGCTGCACGTGGGCAAGGTCTTCTGTACAAATCACACCTCAGGGTCAAAGAGTTTGGGCAGACATGATCTCCATCAAAACAGTTGACATCAGTTGACCTGTCCCAACAAGTGACTAGGCGTCACTAGGCCTCACTATTTTCACCCCGAAGCGTCACCGTCCTCATATGCGGTCTGATCTGAGGTACACACCAAGATCTCCAAGGTGTTTTTCTATGAGCATGTTGTCCGATAGGACCTCACAGGCCACTCCGACCCCATCTTCGATGCTCCCCTCATGACGATCCGAAGTTCCGGAGTTTGTGCAGAAGTGATGCGATGATGTGGAGGGCCAATCCAAGCTTCCGGCAACCTTCTTCACAGCAGCTTCCTTGTCTACAAAGACTGCCTGCAACGCTTCCTATCCAACTGCCACGTCAGTCACTATCTATGAGTGAAGCACGAAGGTCTTCCTCCAAAGAGTCAGATGTGTCCTATCCTATATGCCACAAGAGCTTAAACCTCCAACGAAATGGTGACTTAGAATTCCTTTCCAAGGCCCCCATAGCCATCCACCCATCATGCAGCCAACCCTGCACCTTCTTGTGCACCAAGTTGTAGACGTTCTGCGTCGGAAGTGGCTGGGGAAGCTCCAAAAGCAAAGTTTCCCGACGACACATGAGGATACCCACTGTATCCCACCGTCTTGGATGCTGAAGCAGGCTAAGTATGGTCAAGTTTGTTTTCAAAACATCTATTTTTTCCAGGTTGTTTGGGTATTGCCCCCAGACATTATTTGGGGTTAACGGACAGGCCTTGAAGGAAGGCACACCCCAAAAGGTGAACGGTTTCACCTCCTGCAGCTTCCTGGCCGACTCCTGCATTTCGGAATCCATTGAAATCCCAGTTGGAATGATGGGGACTGTGCTTCATTTTAAGGGTCATGGCTAGTAACTTAGTCATACTTAGTTCATCTTAGTACATCTTTAAAGTCACACTCCATCAAGCACGATTGTCAGGTCCTCATTGTTCAAGATGAAGGTCATGCTGTGCCTGGAAAGGCTGGAAAGGGGAAGCCAGGAGTCCTCAATGCCGGAAAGTCCTTCCACTTATGCAGCTGGGTGAAGACTATAGACCTCCAAACTTGGATGATTTGATAGAGAAAAAGATAGAAACCGGTGGAGCCTATCAGGCAAATCCAGAAAACAAAAACCCATCTCTTCATCGCTGCATGTAATCCCATCAAAGATCAATATTGCGCCAGGGGTGACATGTGCTTTCTCACCGTAGCCACAGCACCTTGCTCTGAGTCCAAAGTCGCGCAGAACAGACTTCACCTGCGATGGGTGGCAAACCGGTCAGATATCTGGACCACAAGCTTCGGCAAGGAAGAGCCCCCAGCACCCAACTGGCGCATCCTGGATCCGTGCCTTCTTGGGAACACCTTTTTTGCCATTTCTGCACAGGGCAATCACTTGCCCCTGGCATGTGAGTTCAAATTTCTGACTGTCAGGCCATCACAGCTACAGTGAAAGGAAAAAGGATCATCATGTTTCCTTACCATGATAGAACGAACTTTGGAGTAGCCCATCATCGAATGTTGCAGAGAGATTCAACTATTGGCAGCTCGTCTGGAGAAAACACTGAACCCAAGGGTCAACTAGTTTCGGTTCAATCGTTCAATCCTTTAGTGCAACAATTCAGGATCATCATGGATCATCCTTCATAAGGATCCTACCTTCTTTTTGGGCTTCGGTTTCTTTTTGTTGGGCAAGCGCTTTAGTCTCTTCTCCTCCTTGATCCTGCGGAAACTCCGATTGCCAGCTTCACATGGGTATGGGTCAATGATAGATATGATGGAAGACCCCCAATCCACAAAGAGTGATCATTCCTGGTATCAACACGTATCAACCACAATTCTTGGAGATACCCCACATTCGATCCACAGCTACATTGCTTCGTTTTTCTTCGGTATGTCAATGAGATGCAGCTCCCAGTCTTGTCAAGGGATTGCTTCAGGAGAGTCTCCATCTTGATCACCTTGAAGCCACCTTTATACTTTGTTTGCTTTGCTTTGGCCTTTGCCCTGCCACTGACACACTGGCGAGATGAAGCAAACCGAAGGCTGGTTAAACAAGAAAAAAACTTGGCACCAACTACAGCCAAAATTCAAGGCTGCGTATCGAGACATATCATGCTTTGAATTTTGTACAGCAAGATTGCTCAGCAAGATCATCAAATCTTCCCTTCCAGTCAAAACATCTGAAGTCAAATTCCAAGTTCTCGGCTTTGCAATTTGCTCAGCTCTCTTTGCAGCCGCTTGCAAGTTCCGGTCTCGTCCTTGGAGACTGCAGTATGGCCAGAGGCAGTCCCCATTCGAAGGCAGCTGGGCTCCCGGCTTTTGAGAACCGTCTGGGCGACCTCCAGAGTCGACAGTTAAGTCCGTGAAGGACTGAGATGTTGCCCAAACAGAAAGAAAAAGGACAAGGATCAAGAGGATGAGGATGGTGATGATGGTGATGATGATGGCCAAGCTGCCAACAGCTACAAGTATGTTTCTTGTCACTGTGAAAAGCGCTGGTTTGAAAGGCCACTTAAAGTCTTGTCTGTTCCACACAACGTGCCACATAGAGGGAAATCAAAAGCCGGACTGCCATAAGCTGCTTCAAGGGCGGTTGTTTTCCTCTGTATTTTCTTCAAGATACTTCATTACTGAATGCATCGTTAGACTCAAGGCAAACCGGAGGACCTTGCGTGTTCATTTAGATACACACACAGCCACACACATATATATAATATATATACACACATATTATGTGTGTGTGTATGTGTGTATGTATGTATGTATGTATGTATGTATGTATGTATGTATGTATGTATGTATGTATGTATGTATGTATGTATGTATGTATGTATGTATGTATGTATGTATGTATGTATGTATGTATGTTTATTGTATGTTTATAGTATGTTTATAGTATGTTTATAGTATGTTTATAGTATGTTTATAGTATGTATATCTATATATATATATATGGTGTGTATATATATATATATCACATTTATGTATTTATTTAATATATCTACCTACACACACACACACAAATGCCTCTTTGTCCACTTTGCTCATAAATAGAATCAACCGAGGCAAAATTCCAATTCGCTGCGCCTTCAGGTTTTCACCAGGTCGTCGCGGCTGCAGCTTCGCTTTGAGGTTAGCGCCTCCGGCCACGGGTCACCGGTCACTGAAAGAAAGCTATGGGGGAACAGGAAATCATAGGAAACCCCCAACAAACATGATGAACTTCGACTTTAAATGACCTTATTGGGTGAAATTACTAGGGTCTAAGTTTATGAAGGATGACAATGAGTTGGGGATGGGGTTGGAGATGAAGGTAGGTGTCTGCGTCGTGCCAACCTTCGATGACTTGTAACTGATAGGTTGCCTGTCTTCTTGGCGCAGGCTGCTGTCTCAACTATGGGGATCTGGGGGCTGGACCAACATCCTCTTCCATCAGCTCCCAGGCTCTCTGGGGGTCCTGCTGGGCTGAGCAGTATCGAGATCCCAAAGGATGGGAGGTTCCTAAGTCAAAAAGTTCCAAACACAATCTCTTCTGAAATCACAATCTCAATTAAAATAATTAAAATGTTCCCACAAACATTCCCTCACAGTCCATCTGCCAACATCCATCTGCCATCTTTACCTGCCTTTTGTGTACTCGCTTGCCAACAGTTGTCTTGTTGCAGTCGCGTCTCGCGTGTGGTGGACGCCAAGAAGCAATGGTGAATTTGGGCCAAAACTGGAGCGTCTGGAGCTCAAAGTTCAGCCAGGATTGCGGGACGATTTTTGCCACCGAAATGTGTGGCTTCGGAATGCTTAGGAAATGTGGGAGATTGGAAGGCCTGCGTATTTTCGCAAACCATCCCGTGTGTTCACCCAGCTTCGCATCAAACTGTGCGGGATGAAGCCACACTCGTAAATGAAGAAAATCAGATCATCGGTTCCTCCGATTAGAAGAAGCATCACAGCAAAAGCCGCTAAGCACATGAAGGAAATCATCGCCAGCAAGGGTGAGATTTTCGTGAGGGCCCTCAATTCCTCCTCCTCTCGGTGGTTTCGAACGTCACAATCCAACTCTTTGCACCACTTCCTTGAGTAGTGCGAGTGCCAGCGACGGATCTGCTGGTCTTCAGCACCTGGAGGGAAACACTGCAGCAGCAGCTTCTCACAGCGATTCTTCTGCTGCTGCAGCTTCGAAGCATCGCAGGGCACGTCCAGCGGATCAGCGCAGGCCTGCAGCAACTGCAGGGCGCTGCAAGGCTGGGCCGTATGCTGTGAGAGGGTTCCAAGTTGGTGATCAGACTCAGCACTAGATTCACTAAATCAATGATGATCAATTGGGCACTTCAAAATCATGTTTAGTCATTCAGTCATTCATACTCTATCTCTGGCATACCACGCAAGGTACAGTCCGAGGCCACCCACAATCATTCCCGTCCATACTTCCATCATCCAAGAAACTCCGAAGATATCGCAGTAGTCAGCCAAGCACACTGATTGCCCAGATGACTGTTGATTTCCTTGGCTCGAGCAAGTTTTCTCACCTGCCCTGCTAAAACGTTTTACCAAGACGAGCCTCTTTGATGGGTCCCCAATCAAGCAAAAGTACGCATGTCTGTTGTTGATATCTTGTCGCTCAGAAGATTTGGTGCCCAAATCAATGTCTTGTGAACGTGTGAAATCGGCTCATGTTCCGGCAGGAGGATTCTGTTGAAAAGCCGGCACCTTGACCCAACGACGCAACGACAAAGTGACAGCAGACTATCAGCAGACTACACTGCAGAACACTGAGCGATCCAAGTCTCCCTGTGCCAACAAATCTCTTTGTGGATGGAAGGGACACTTTTCTGGAAGCTTGTCCAGGATGTCCTGCAGCAACCAACGTACCAACGAACTACAGTCGACTGTACAGTTGCTAAAGTTACTAAGCACCAATTCGGTGTGAAACGGCAAAATGAGAAGTCATCCTGATCATCCTGATCTGTACTCAACGGGGAAAGGCTGGAAGGATCAAGGGGCAGGTGTAGGTCGATCCGCACGGTCCAAACTATGCAGTTATATCTGCCAGTCACCAATCAAACTAATTTCGTGGAATGGTGGTTTGATGTGGTTTGACTTCGTGCTACTTGGCTGAAGATGCTGAAGTAACGCCTTCTCAAAATATTCACTACAGTCTCAACTTCTCAACCATTGCATGACACGTCTGCAATGGGCAGCAGCGATGTCCTTGATGGCTCCATCGACGTGGCTACGAACTCTTTGGGATACCTGGCGCTGAGCCACTGAAGCATCGGCAAGCAATGCTACCAATGCGACCATTGGACCATCTGATAGCCATCTGAGCACCCAACTGGTAGTGAGCACCAGGGATGGTCCTCCGTGAGATTTTCCCTGACGTCAGTGTGACAGAGTTCAGCTAAATGGGCTACATGGATCTAAATGGCGGAATGCGGAATGCTTCTCAAAATGCGCGACAGCTCATGAAGCTGTTTGTATCTGTCATGCAGTACAAAATGTTTGGCGAGGTTTGAAGGAAATTGGAGAGAACAAATCTAGAGTCCTAGAGTACTATGAAGTGCTGCCTTTCACAAACTCTTGTCAGCTGTCCACCCTGACTGAGCAGCCCCAACGGAGAATTCTGCCCAGCAAAGGCAGGCTGCAACCTTGGCATTGCGCCATCTCCGTTGCTGATTGATGAGGTCATCCCTGTATCAACCTTCTTAAGCAGCCAGTGAGTCAAAACAGAATAGCAGTGGGTTGAGAATCCATTCAACCCAGCTGGGTCTGCAATGCCATAAAAGCCAAGTAGCTGAAAGGCAAGCAAAAGAACTGATTTGGACATCATGGCGGCACAAACACTCTTGCTGCGCCAGAAGCGCAACAGAATGCCGCCGAGGGATTTGCTGGAGCCTTGTAAATGTAAGAAGGTCAAAATGTGACTCCTACTTCCAAGTGTTATGTTTCTCCAGGACCGAACAAATGTGGTGGAGCCACTCTAGACAACATGTCCAGATCATTCCAGATCGATCTAAGTGCAGCGTGATCAACCATATCTGCCATATCTGCCATATCTTTTTTGCCTGTTGCCAAACCTCAACAGATGCACAGTGTCCTGATGCCAGCGCGGCACGGCGCGGATGGAGTCGGGATCAGCGTGCGAAAATGCTGCGGGTTTGACGATTGCTTGGAGAGTCCACTGAGTCCACAGACAATTTGACGAAGGAATTTTGAAGGATTTTTTCAAGAATTACTAGAGATTCAAATTTAGAATTAAGGAAATTTGTCAGATTCAAATCATCTATATATAATTATATATATATATACTAGTTTGGGTAGTTGTTGCTTGAACGACCTTGGGTGCCTCTCTCCTGCACTTGCCCTTCAAGACTATGCAGCATACGGTGCATGATGCACAGGACAAGCAGGAACAGGAATTCAGTTGAATGGCAGACCATCCCATGCGATCCGGACCCTCAGCTGCCCCATGTTTGTCGCGCTTTGACTTTGGCCAAATGGCACCAGCGCAGGGCGATGTTTAGCCCACTGCTCATGCCAAGTTGAACCATCTTCCCACGCAAAGAGCCCTGTGGCTCCACCAAATTTGACAGGACCGCCATAACCATCCAACCCAGAGGAGCCGCCTGGACTGCCGCCCCTCCGCAGGACATAGATACAGGCGTCCATCTTCACAAAGAGTCGGAAACTCCTCCGGTGTTCCACCACCCAGCTGTCACTCAGCGCCTCCTGCATGGCCTGACGATTCTGTTGGTTGGTCAACAGCACCGCGCGGCCGCCAACACGTAGCACCCGCGCCAACTCCATCAAGACCCGCGGGTACAACCAGCGATTGTCCTCCAGAGATCCAAATTGTTTGCCAAAGGGAAGATCCGTCAAAACCTTGTCCACGGAGGCATCTGCCAATGGCAACCCTCCCACCAACCCCGCATTGCCACGGAGCAGCTGCACCCTGCCACGCGTCATCTTGGCGACGCCCCTGACGTTCACAGCAGCCAAGTGAAGCTGTTCAGGGTCCAAGTCGCAGCCAATGAAAATACCTGCGCTGAATCCAAACGGCAAATGGGGATGGCACCAACTTTTGCAAAAAAAACAACTGGAAGTTCATTGAAAATACGGCTGCTTCATCTCAGAATATGTGGAGGTTATGTTCCAACTGGCCCCAACTGGGACATGTACCAACTGCGGCATATTCGGGTAAAGACAGTCCATCTCAAACAAGACTGGAATAAGACTGGTGTCTTCGGTGTCTTCTCAATCTTCCAAATCGAAGAGCCATGCTTTTTTTTGGGTCTGTCCGAGAATACCCCTGAAATTTGATTGCTCATCATGTTTTCCAAAACTGCAATTTTCTAGTACAGTATCTCAGTATACTTTTTCGGACAAATCTATACATCACTAGCTAAATCCCCATTGTACGGTTAGATCCCCTTTTTTTGTTGGTCTAAATCCAGCACTACATATTACTAACTACCTTGAAATTCCCCATCATTTTCTGATTTGTTGGTGGCAAAATCCTATATCTATGCGTGGTTTAAGCTCCATGATCGAAAGTCAGTCTCTTCCAAAAAAAAAAACGGAGGAGTTCCACTCACACCTGCATGAGGCCAGTTGAGCGCAGCTTCACACAGAAGCACCTGGCAGTTCGCCCAAGAGTCATGGCCTTTTCATCTGAGTCATCCTGAGTCCCCATTGTGTTGCCTGAAAGTAGAACATGTTGAGAAAATATTTGGAAAGAGAGTAGAAAACATGATGAAACTCCGCTGAAGATTCCCACCACGGTTTGTCTGAGGGACTCCCCGACCGCAGAGCGGATCCAACACCACGTCCTTCGCGCGGATGTCCAAGCAACGCGCCAGGACCTAGGAACGGTGTCATGGGCACAATGTGTGCGTGCCCTGAGTATGGAAATGTTACGGCCAGGAGTCGCCGTTTGCCCGGAATGAAATTCACAACGTCGTAACGAAGAGCTAAAACCGTGGAAATTCCCGTACAAAATGACTGTAGCAACAGATCTTCAAATGGTTGTGTTGGAGATCGAAAAGGGCTTTTGGATTGTGACTGCTGTGAGGGTCTTCGAAAACTCGTTTTCCAAAACCCTTGTTTGAGCTCTTTTTAAGCATCGTCGGTTTCCTCTACATAGAACAATGGCGTGACACCTTAAACGAGTGTAGAAGTTTGACGGGGTGGGGGAATTAAACCCTTATTGAAGATCTTCAATGAGTGTAGAAGTTTAACGAGGCTAACCCTTTTTCAAGATCTTCAACGAATGTAAAGTTTAACGTGGGAACATGGGTAAGTTGGGACAGTTAAAAGTTTGGGCGAACGGCGGCGCCTGAGCCAAATATTACCATGAATGATCATATCATTTATCCATACATGGGTATATCTATCAGAATCTATCATGATGTATCTGGATGGCAGTGTGATATGTTAATTATGAATTGGTATATGATGGAAAAATCATATCAAGATACATGATATAAGCAACTCACCGAGTCATCGGATACTTTACCTGGCAGCCAAACGGTTTTTTTTGTGTGGATATGTGTGGATAAATTCACCGCTTCATAACGAGATCCTGAACCAGTGACCAAATTTCGAGTCAGGGATCTTTGGACCTGGAAAACTGTCGAAGACCTGAAAACTGAGCTCATCCTTCGCGTCTCTGGACGACTCTAGCTGAGCGCCTTGCCCAGGCAATTGCTGGATGGAGGCCTGCAAAAAAAAAAAGGTCTCAAAGTGTAGCAACTTGGACACTCCAAAACTGAAGCACATTTGCTACCTCTGCTGGAAGCATGTTTCAAGAATAATTGTCATCTCCAAATATTCATGGAACATCATAGAACCACCAAGTGATCCTATACATTGCCACACTGTGGAATAAAACTCTGGAAACACCATAAGAATGCCAAGGATATCCCATTTGCCGCCTGGATGTGTCAAATAGCACCCACGACTTCCCAAGGGTTGGACCAAGGCCTCAGTGCAGGACATGTTTTGTTTTCTCCGTTTCAAGCGATATTGCACTTTGAAGAAATATAATAACAGTAAGGGTAGAAGTATAGCAAAATTCCCTTTTTTGCATAATATTTAGAAAAAAAAATAAAAAAAACGAAACAAGGCATCCTTTCCATCAAACTGATTCCCTCATCCCCCACCATCCCAATGTGGCTACAATGCTGGCTACCCCGTCAACTTGGAGCTCACACGGTCAAGCTCACCAACAGTTCCTCTTGATTCAGCTGCACTCGAACCTTCGGAATCGGCAATGGCCAGGTTGGGGGGGCGCCTTCGAGGTAGATCAAAGAAGGCCATAGAACCCCAGAGCCCCTGCACCTCCAGATCAGGATTGCGTAGCTCCACGGGCCAATTGAAGCGCTCGTTCAATGCAGCACCCACCTGCCAAAGAAGGTTCATGTATTGAAGGAAATCAGGCGGACATAGTATAGGAAACCTTGGAATCATGAATGATAGACTTCTGCACAGTAGATTCTTTGATGTTTGTCTGAACAAGTAACAATTGTCATGAATATCCACAAACTGGCCATGCTCTTTGCAGAAAATGACTAAGCGCTGGAAGGAATTATGACAAACCTCCATGCAACTGTAGAAGCGTCGCTTCTGAGCCTCTTCTGCTATTGCGTCGGATGATACCAAAGCCTGCACATAGGCTAGGTGCCAAGGCCTTCTGGGATTCAGTTTTCCAAAACTGGTTTCCGGGCAAGTCTGAAGGAAACCCCATATGTCACATTATGATGGAAACGTTTATACATTTCCCTTACATCAATCAACTAACAGTGCGAACGAAGCCCACTCCTCAAGAAGAGCAAAAGAGGATTCTGACCCCAGGCGGCAGTTGCCACGTTTTGGAGGCCTTTCCCACTTTGGTGGAGCGTTTGGCTTTCACTCTGAACCTCAGATCTCGCAGGGTTTTGCAGCAAAACAACCCCTGGCCAAGACCTAGCCTAAATCCAACATTGATTCTGCAAAAGCATAGCATACATAGCACACATGTTCAAGAATGCCACTCGCCCCAGCTGTGTACCGTTGAGGCCAAGGCGATTTGGGAGGCAAAGGTCGACCTTGCAACGCGGGTGGCTTCTGTGACCATCGGACTGGGGGCATGGCGTGGTATGGGCGTTGAGGCAGCTTGGGATGGATTTCGGATGGATGTTCACCCCAAATATGGTGTCATAGTGTCTTGTTTAAGCCAAACTAACATCAACTCCACTTGCAAGCAGGAATATCACCCCCATGGGCTCATGGACCCATGGACACATTTGGACTCACTGGGCTGCTGACCCACCAAAGCAGCCCAAAATCTCAAGGCTTTCGACCACTCTGCTGACATCACCTCAAAGGATTGTGCTGATCCCTGTCACTGGTGATTCAGTCACTGCAATCATTGGGCACGGCCCAATGAGTGCAAAATATCTTCACGGGATTACAACTACCCACAAATAAACTGCGGGTAAGTGGGATTTGATTGGGCTTACCAACATCTATTACAACCAAAATCAAGCAAGTTTTACACAGAGTGCCATCATGGCATCCATTGGTGACCAAGTCACAGCGGCGACGATTTTCCGGAGGCAAATCTCGGTGGAGGCTCCAGGGAAGGTCAGAAAAGTACCTCCACATGGTCCCCGTTCCCTGGCCTTTTCACGTCTGGGGCACTCAAACCAGCCACCAACAGCCCACCAAACAGGGTGCAGAATGAAAACTGGGAGACTTGGGGTTAAGATCGAAGAAAATCCATCAAATACATCATAATCAAATTTATCATATTTGAATATATTTGACCCATTACTGCCTTTTTGCTGAAGCCCCCATCAACCCCACTGGCACCCAGTGGCACCCAGTGGCACCCAGTGGCACCCAGTGGATCATCGGAATGCCGCAGCAGCAGCACTCCCATCATCTCCACGGAGCGGGCTGCAGCTAGCAGCTCCGAGCTGCCCAGGACGTGGAAGTAGATTCGACCTGGAGCTCTCAGATTTTCCACGAAGGCAGGATGCTGATTCTGATGCTATGAATACATTGAATACTAATTGAATACATGTATTTTAAAAAATGTCGGCCTGGCAGTTGATCAGTGACTTTGCACTGCAGGGACTCCAACTCTTCTGCACACTTTCCTGAGTTTCCAAGGACATTCCTGGCCCAAGCAGTTCCACTCCAGTGACGCCCAGGCGCTAAGGGACGACTCCCCGGGTCTTTCGATGGTAGCCACCTCAGAACGGCCAAACTGGCCCACCAGGTGGCTGGAGTCATTGAGGCTACCAATGGATCAACTAATTTGGCCATGTCTAGTATTAAAATCTATGAAACATACTATTAAATGCCCGTAAGCCATAAACCATCCATTTTCACAGGTTGATAATTTTGTGATCAGTGGCCATCTTTCAGCCTAGATACGGGTCTAACTGCGCTAGAAGACCCCAAGACCAATGCAGGCGGTTTTCAAATTTACAAGCTTGGTCGTCCATCTAAAATGAACCCAGCTGCTTGGGAGGGCCGACTCTTAGACTCTTACAGACCTCACCGTAGCATGCTGATTTTTGCGTTTTCCATGCATTCCCCAATGTACGGCTATGGCAGACCCAAAATGGTACTGTGGGGGTGTTTGGCAATTGTTTGTTACTGTGGAAACAAAAAACATAAGCGCTGTATTGTGTCGTTTTCATGTTGACTTTAATTGTTGTTGTAGATCAGAAATGTGCGAAACACCGAAGCATGTGGTGTTTTGTAGACTGGCATGTACGAGTTCGCCCATCTGTTCTGCGGTTGGGGGAGGCAAACAATGCGGAAAAACAACTTCATAATGCTATGAGGTGTTTTCTGAGAAATTCTGACCACGGCTTCGCAACCGTGTAGAAAATGGCGGTTGTTTTCATTTTAGAACGTTGGATCGGATTCCTTTATACTTTTTTTGTAATTCTGCTCCTCTCCCTAAAATTGGTGTGTTGAAGCTTCAATAATGATCTTGAATTATATATTTGAATACCTGTGCAACTACTCCATTGCTTTAAAAAAATCTGCAGTGTGGGCACCCGACCGTAAAATCACGATTCGCGTGATGAATTGTTTGAATATTTCAAGCCAGCCAAATTTGATAATTGAACTAATGTGAACTAATTAGAAATTCGAAGACCAATCAAAATTAATCATCAATGTACCGGTCACCAAACTTCTGTTTTCAGTGGGTCTTGGAGTTCCATCAAGTGCCATTGAGAGCCTCACCAGTTTGCTGCTGGACCATCGGCATATCTGCCACCATCGACACTGCCTTGGTCCCAAATAAGGGCCTTCATCCCCTGTCGAGCAAATGCATCACATTTAGAAACGCCGTTGCAACGGCAACGCCAGCGTCCAACCTTTGATTTTCTTGGAACATACATGTTGCAGAATGGATGCTTGATTTGAAGGAATCCAAAATCTTCAGAGCCGTCACATTTGGATCACCTAGAATTGTCGTGTTTTTTGTTTCATACCTGCGATTGAGTGCACCCTCAAGCACCAAGACTTACATCCTGGAGGAACAGGAGTTGTCGTCTATGATTCGCGTGTCATAAGACTGTGGCCGGCTGCAGGCCAGGATCGGACCTTCAAGGTAGCCCCACCTGTTGAACAAACAATTTGCACACACTGCTCATTTGTGCAAAACGATCCGTCCTGCAGCTAGTTTCCAACTCTCATCAAAAACAACCTGCCATTCTAAGTTGAATCATAAAAAACATGAAATCTCAACAGCAAATATCCACCGAACAAAAAGTCGGCATCCCCAACCAAGGCAGTCACAGGCAATTGGCCACGGCGGGATCTTGAAGCAGCTCCGGCAGGGCCATGGCTCCATCCAAATCAGCTCCAAATCTTTAGGGATCCCACTGAACTTTGGTGGTTTGCTGTTGTTGTTTTGAAGGAACAAACGCTGTCTGGAATTGTTTTTTAGAGAAGATCCAAAATTTCTGAGCACCTGATGTGTTTGTATTTTGAGAAGCATCCAAAAATCCTGAAACTCGAGCAACCTCAGGTTTTGAGAAAATAAGTCCTTTGGGGGAAGAATTGTTTTTGGCGTAAGATCCAACTTTGGGGAGCAGGTCAGCCTTGGCCATCTTGGATGGCCACGATGGACAGCCAGATGCTGCAAGCCATCCATTCCTTGACTCCAACTATCCCTGCACCTACATCAACTATCCCTGCTTGGATTATCATATCTGCAAAGACGATGAACATGAAAAAGTTGCTCCAGAACTGTCAGAGAAAGTAAGGAGAGAGTCTGAATTTGATTTCCATGATCTTCTCCAAACAGCTGCCAAGTCATAACTCCGCCATCACGCGCCTGCTCATTGAAGTCGTCCAGTGGCAAGGCATAGGATGGCCGGGTGGGCAGACGGCTGATACGGGCGAGGACGTCAAACCTCCAAGAGACCCAAGACACATGGCAATGTCCCCACCCTGAAGAAACGAGGGAAACTGCAAACATCAAACCATCAAGGGGTGGTGCCTAGGACCTAGTTGAGTCCCTTGCAAACTTTTGATTTTGAGGCCCTTGGGTAGAACAGCAGACGGCAACTTTTGCCAAGAAATACAGACTCACCGCATCTTTAAAAAGCAACATGCAGCAGATTCCAGCTGAACACAACATACGCAAAATACATCAGCGCCTTTCGCCAATGTATGCAAGGTCAGATTCCTGAGGTCTGGTGTACTTCCTGGTCGTCGCGATCATGTGATCGCTGGTGGTCATTGGTGGTCATTGGCATCACCCAAGTGTGTCTCAAAATTAGGTACACCCAAAAATTAGGTACACCCTTTTTTGTGGTTTAATCTGTGAATATCACCCTAATAGGTGATGCCAATGTCAATATATTCGGGTCATATTCACAGATTAAACCTCAAAAAAGGTTCAAACTCATCAGAGCCAGATCCTGTCCGGGATCCAAATCCATCAACGGTCCCCCGACGTCATCCAGGTCCTGTCAAGGCCCGTGGTGGCGGACAGAGATCCAGCTGGTTGGCAACGATCCTGGCACACATCCAATGGAGGTGTATTATATCTGTCATCAACAGGATGTTACAGATGTTACACATGGATACGATGTGTATGTGTTTCTTTTGAATATCAAATGTGTTTACTGCTAAAAAATGACTATATGATTTCCTTCTCTGAGTTGCCAGCCTCGAACCAATTATCGTTCAGGACCTTCAGATTATACCTTGGCAAACACAGGACAACCTCTCAGATGGATAACAAGTTTACAAGTGCGAAGAGCGAGCTTGACCGTGTCAACAATAAGACCTCCTTTCAAACTTCTAGAAAGCTAAAAATCACGGAGTGAATTCTGCTATTACACAGGCTCACGAAAAAAATATATACCGTGTTTTCCAAAGGAAATCTTGTGACACAAGAATCTGCAATGTAAGAATCAAGCACACCAGTTGCCATGTTACCAGTTGCCTCAGCACACATGGATGAGAGAGCAAATGAGACATCAGGGACATCAAATACATTGAGATTCAAAGTGCTATAGACAACTATAGGCTACAAATGCATCTCAACTCTACACTCTCAAATGGATGTAATGCACGCAGTGCTGAAGCTTTGGCAGCTTGAGCTCCTCACAAGTCCCCAAGTCCCCACTCCAGGCCACTTTCTTGGACGGACTTGAGCCAAAGTGACAGTGCACAATGACTAAGTCAGAACGAGAAATATAGAAAGGGAAACGGGGGGAAGCCATGAGAAAACTATTTGGCAGACTGGAGAATCCATTTCCATTGGGGGACCAACATGAGGCTGGGAAAAGGAGCCGCCACAGTTTGTCCCTGGTTGAAAATGAATGCGCCAGGGAGAGGAAAAGGCGACAGTGGCCATCATTCTGAAGACATACTGTTTGCAGTGTCTGCGACAGGGCCGCCTTTTTAGTCCAGTTTCAAGCCACACCAATTAACTGGAAAAGCTGTTGTGACAGGGTTTGACCCAGTACACAACTTAATCGAATCTTCAGAAGCAAGCATGAAATATATTTAGCATCGCGTTTTCCAGGTCAGAACATCTTCTGGCGAATCTGAAGTAAATCGTCCTCAGATGAACGAGGACAGAAGACTGCAATGCACTTAAGCTCTGTGAATTTCAATCTGACAAAAACCAGACACACACACCTCGCTGGATCTTGGTGCAAACTTGACGTGTCTTGACATGTAAAACTCACATCGAAGTCGAAGTGCTTCAAGTCTCACTTGAGGCCCAGGGGTAAGTGACGAAAGCTAGCTTGGCAGGGAGCTTTGCGTGAAAACACCCAGTATGCTCGCAACTCATCTGTATTAAGGGATATTATGTCCAAGACAAGGCTTTCCATGTCTTGGTATAGAATGAACGGGACACATTGAAGGGGGATCAATGTCACATATGAAGAGAACACGAATATATCACGTGCGTGAACATAGTGAGGAAACTCCCACTCAGTAGCGTGGCGGTCACTAAACACGAAGAAGATGCAAGGTCCACCTTCACCATCGGAGTGGACCTTTCAAGGCTTAGAAGTTGCAAGAGAAGATGATGTTGGAAGCTCTGCCAGGGGGACAAAAGGCGGAAGCATGCCAGTGCAATTGCTCCGGAAGGATTTTTGCAAACTCACCTGTATGAAGAAATATTATTTCCAAGGCAAGCTAGCCACTGTGAGAACTGGCTGGAAACTACATGTGAAGGTTTAAAAATGAAAATGAAGCTACGTTTTAGGGCTCGCCATGAACATGCCGATAGTGAGCGACGCTGCACCAGTGACTTGGAGCATGCGCTATTGATTATTGACGACGCCAATGATGCTGAGGATGCGAATGCTGCTGATTGTGCTGCTGGAGGCGACATTCCGACGGCGTCCCGGGAAGGATTGAGCCACGGCCAAACTGCTTGTGAACCAGCCAGTGGGGGAGGCGGGGGTAGTTAACTATGAACTTTCATGCGATTGCAAATTCCAGATTCCAGCCCCCCCCAAGGGACTTCAGCCAGCAGAAACTAGCTTTCGTGACTTGATTCCAAGGGTCCCATCTGCTCTCCTTTCTTGCGAATTCTTGGGAAGGGTCACCTGCAACAACATAGGGAAAGCTTTGGAGTTGATTTGGTCATGTGACAATACACAAGGACTTGGAACATCTTGGAACTCTTTGCAGATCCCATGGTTCATCCCCTTGGCGCAAAAACCATACCTTCCCGGACCCGCGGCCCCACATGGCCCCACACTGTACTCTCTTTTGGTCAGGCTGAGAAGCGTAGGGCCAGCCTATGACGAATCCGGCCGCCCTGAGAGGCATAAACAATTTTCATTTGTTTGAACCTAAACAGCCACCAGCAGTGGCGCAGGTCGGGGCGGGTCAGGGCAGATCTTTGTTCGGCACTAGCGGCAGTCGTTCTTGCCCGTGGCCACGTTGAAGTTGCAGCAAAAGGCTGAGATGGCGCCCCCGAAGACTTGAGAGCATTGCCAGCCACTGGCAGTGTAAGGCGCGCCAAAAACGCAGACCTGCCAAAAACTTCTCGTGGAGTTGCAGTTTGCAATGGTTGCTACTCCAACTCTGCAAAATCTGTCTGACTGCTCTGCAACTTTGTAAGCGCGTAGTATGTGTATGAAGTGTGCAGCACAATGCATCCAGTGTAGTGTACATGTATGCCTGTGTGCGCCCACTGGTTGTAAAAGCCACTAGGGTGAACCCACACCACGCAGGATCATGATCGATCATGTATCAAGGGCGCATGGCTGGCATGGCTCGTTTCACTCGTTTCAATGGTCTTGTTACTTCTGGGTCAACATGATTCGACATGGTCAGCACGTCCTTTTTTTTGCATGCTAGCCATGTCCTTGCTTGCATCTGAGGGACTGCATTGATGGTTGGCAAATTCACTGTGCCCATGGTTCCCACGGAGCCATAGGCCACACATTTGCTGACGCCACAGCTGATGCCGATGCCTAAAGCGACACCTACCCAGCCAGTGTTGGAAGTGGCCCCAACTGCAAATCCAACATCTAGCGACATCCAGGTCGAAGGTTTTTTGCCTTTGGTGAGTAGCCTTGGTAGCAACATGGTGCAACATGGCGCAACCGTGATCTCCATATTTCAATCTGCTGGGAAAACTTCGCAACCTTCCTTCTTTCACAAGACAACGTACAGTTTTGGTCAGCACCCCTGTTTGGTCTGCATCAAGTGGCTTTAGAAAGCCAGCCATATCGCCCACCGAGAGCCCAGCTGCAAAAGAAACAGCGCCTTCCGCAGGGTGAGACTGTGACTATGTTTGTCTCATGCCAACAATATGTGCACTTTCGCCTCAAAGCTGCTATACAGGTACCCAACACAGCGCCCAATACGGAGCCCAACCTGGAACAACGTCAATTTGGTATCCCACTGTGATGAACTCAAAGACATCGCCAATGCAGCCCCAGATCAGTGACACGTACTTTTCGATAATCTCCACTCCCTTCTTGACGACTTTCCCTGTCTTCTTGGCCGCTTTCTTGGCCCCTTTCCCTGCCTTTTTGGCCCCTTTTTTTATCTTCTTGCCGAAGCCGCCCTTCTTCTTTCTCCTTCTTCTTCTTCTGCTCTCTCCTCTCCTTCTGGGGCTTGAGCTGTCCTTTTTCTTCCTCCTCCTTCCACTTGCGTCTTCAAGTTCCTCACTTTCCTCACTTTCCTCGCTTGTTTCTCTTACTGCCAGCAGAGCTCTCGAACTTGACATCCTGGGCCGCTCTCGATGCTATTCCACCGGACTTCCCCAAATGACGGCACTCAGAGCACTCCAATTAGACGCAATCTAACAAGCTCAACACCATCTGCTACCCAATCTTGCACCATCCAGTTCCATCTAATCGTAAATTCAACATCCCTGTTTGCAAAAACTCTGTCCTGCCTGTCTGTCCTGTCAACTACCTCTTCCATCTCGGTTGGCTCCAAATCTCGGTTGGCTCGATTCTGTTCATCCTTCTGGAACTTCCCAAACTCGACCTGGACAGCGGCACCCGGATCCCCTGGATCACCCATCATTGTAATACCATTGTCACCATCATTTATCATTTTAGGTCAGATGGTCATGGTTGAGTCATCTATCAAGACCTAGTGACCTAGTGTGGCAATGAGGGATGAAGCCACAGCAAACTAGATGTTTCATGATTTTTCATCACTCGAGTGGGAAAAAAATGACATCTATGGAATCTATGGCACCTCGATGGGACTGTGGGAAAAATCATCGCCCCATAGCTGCCCGGTTCCCCGCCTGGTCGAACCAGACCATGGCTCGCGTTTCATTGACCGCGGCCACGGCCCGGGAGTATGGCACCACGAAGCGAAGCATGGCTTCCTTTCCAGCTTGGCCTCATGCGGGTCTCATCGACGCCCGGAAACAATGGGAAGCTGCTGGAAATAAAGAGAAAGAGAAAGTGTTTAGAGAAAGCGCTCGTCTGCGCCAAATATCCAGCATCTTGAAATGTGTTTTTATCTTCTGGAGTTTTTACTGCAGAATCAATCAGTCATGACTGATGATGCATAATCACATAATCGCGCATAGAATCGCATAGATGTATAGATTTGTTGTCGGCACATGTGTCATTGCTGCTCCTGGTGGGGCGACGCTACTTTGTCATGTATAATAATATATGTATCTATAGATATGTATTCATATATATATATATATATATATGCAAAGACATAGACATAGACATATTCATATCTATATCTATATGGAGGTTTCGTAAAATAGGGGTACCCCCAAATCATTCATTCTTATTGTGTTTTCCACTATATAAACCATCCATTTTGGGGATCCCCCACTTATGAAAACCCTCATATATATATATATATACATGCATACTGTATACTAATTATATAAGCAACCTGCATGCCGCTCCTTTTTCACTGCTGTGCAAAGGTTTCCTGCTCCAGCGCCACGGTTTGATGTGGCAAAAGCTGGAATTTGATCCCGTGTCTCCCGTTCCTTTCCAAGCTCCTCACGGTCATTGGCCTGGTAAAGTTTGAACCATACCTTCGTAGGTATGCCTCCTCTGAGAAAGCAAATTGCCTTCTCAAGCACCTGTGGAAATGCTCCTGCAAGCTGTTGAATCTTTCTGCGTGGACCCTCCGCCAGTTTCTCGGTGTATGTTGTATATAGGACCTCTTGAAGATACAGCTCACAGACTTTGCTGGTGACCCAGCGCCCTCGTCTTCGTACGACTTCTGAGTCTTCAGTCAACAGCAGGAGATAAGTCGCTCCGCCAGGTCTGAAGCTCCCCAGGTCAGAAGGCTTGCCACCGCTTTTGCGCTCAGCGGCTAGTCCAATTGAAGTCAGAAGTGCATTCAGGCGCTTCCGCAAGGTCACTGCCGAAAACGGCCATTGCTTCTGGTCCTCCTTGAACTGGTCAAAGACTGCTGCTAAGTACTCCACCAAATCCGGGGGGTCGATGCGGGCCGCCTGATGGCGGGCCGCACGACCCCGCGTTTTTGGACACTTTATACGCAGCAAGGCAAAACGTGTGCCTGGGGCACTGTCACTTGGCAGCACAAGGTCACCACGGTCAGCCATCAGGACCTCGCCGATTCTCAAAATTCCTGCCCAGGTTAAACCAAAAATGGCTGCTTCCAAAGCCCAACCCCACATCATTGCTGTTGACATGAGTGCAAGCAAAACGCTCAAAGGCAAAGCAGGGTGGTGCTGGTAGGGTTCGTCTGCCAACCATGCAAAAGCTAAATCCCAGGCTGAAACTAAACTCTTTCTGAGAATTGGCCGTGCTGTTGCAATGCTGTTGATTGTCTCAGCATATTTCCCATATGCTTTTCCCGCAGCAAACATTTCCTGCCCATAGGCAACCAGCCATTTGGATACTTCTTCAGCATCAGGTGGCTTTGCTGTCAGAAGCTGCTGTAACATTATGCCATGTTGAGTGTACAGCCAAACTCTGAAATCATCCAGCAAAACCTTCCTGCTTTCCAGTGTCTTCTGACGCGCAACCCTGGTGGGCACAAGTGTAGCCCCACCTCTCGCCGACGCTCTAGCTCTCTCCGCCGCTGAGAGCGGTTCCATGGCATTGACCCCCGGAAGTCCAAGACAGACCAACAAAATCCAACTAACCCGGGGCCTACGACCGCAAACACAGAGACGGGAGCGAGTCTTGAAGGGCTCTAAGGGACAGAGAAATCCAGAAGCGAGAGTTGCGCAAAGCCAGGGAAGCAAGATGCAAGGCAAAATCCAAAAGGCCAGCGACTGGATGGTTTGACAAACACAGGACAGGGACGAGCCACAGTTGACCGAGCACTGCAAAAGTCCAAGGAGGCTTGAGGCAAAGCTGCAAAGTTGGTGGAGCCTAGGTGGGAACAACAGATCGCAGCCAGAGCAAAGTCCACAGGGAAAGGAAAGTCCATCAAGTCCAAGCTCAAAACGCATGAAAGGCTTTTGGGACAGAGGCGTCTGGTTATGAGGTGATTGGTCAGGGGCTGAAAGGCGTAAATCCAAATCCAAGCCATCAGCACCCTGAACATGGAGGAAGAACATCAACAACGCAAGTCTTGCCCAGTTTGCTGCCCATCTTGACAAAGCTCTTGTGTGTACTACCTGAATGTTTCGTGGGTCAAGGAAATCCAACAAGGGGTGAGCCACAGGTTTGCGTAAGGCGACTCTCCTCGTAGGGTCATCTGCAACATTCAGTCTTGTTGGAGCAAAACCCCAACCTGGGTATAGTCCAAATCCAAGCTGCAATGACATGGATCTCTTGCAGACCCTCTGCAGGGAGACTGAAGAGCTTCTCCCTTTCGCCAGGGCTCCTTTGGCAGCTCGTGAGTCGAGCAGGCAGCAAAATCTGCTGTCGGGGCATGTCACAGCAGCGTCAGCCAAGACAGCTAGGCCGCCATGACCCTCAAGCACGTTGATGTGGCTCTTCCTCTTCCACCACCAGCTCTTTTCGATCTTCCATTGTGAAGCAGCAAGGAGGTCATTCAGGACCAGACTCTCATGGCCAATTGCCGGAAGCACATCATCATCAGCCAGCTGCGCTCTAGCAAGGGCTACCGAAAAATGCTTCGCCAAATGCATCGCAAGGTCCCAAACGTAGACGGCTGATTCTTTCGTGTATGCGCCCTCAACTCGCACATGGTCATGACCTCCAGGGCAACGCACTTCAAGGCTTTCACTATCAACAAGGTAAGTGATGAACCGAAACTGCTTTTTGTGCGGCGACCCAAACTGGCAGCTGGCAACGACACTTTCGTAGAAGTCCATGTTGAGCAGCTGAATCCAGGCAGGCAGCCAAGCCATTTTGCTCAAGTGAGGCTGTTCTTTCCCACAAGGTAAACCATGTCTTCTGCCATGCCTCAGCAAAATAAAGGATCGGTTCGCAAGAAGGTTGCCCAGCCATGTCTTTGGGCAGTCAAGGTCAAAACCCTCTGGCTGCTGGTATGACCTGACCGCTGGGTGAGCTGCCGGTGAGAAGGTCGTGCAAGGTGGCTCTGATAGGAACGACTTGAACCTCTTTTGCTCGATCATGTGCATGCACCACTCAATCAACCTAGCATCCGTAAAGTCAGTGCTTGGAGGCCGAGAGATCGAGAGGAGGAGCTACTGAGTGTCCAAGCTGTTGCATGCATGAAGAGACCCTACCAGATCCTCCGTAGAACTCAACAAAGTCAAAGTACAGGAGCGGCGCCTTTCTTGGATGCACGACTCCAGCAGGGCTTTCAGCTTCAAACTCATGTGTTTCGGCCCCTGCCGAGGCCAGCAGAGCAACAGGCATACTGTCCAGTCTGGTGTAGCAGCCTCGCTTGTCACTGCCCAACCAGAGCACCTCGGACAAAGACGCCGGGATCTGAGTGGAGGCAACAGCGCCCATTCCCAACGATGCATCTGATGTGTAGAGCTTTTCTGAATACCTCGTGGCAATGTTGGTGACCGCAAGAGGCACCAATGCAGAGAGAATGCAGAGCTCAGTGGCTGTCGACCTTGAAAGCGCAACTGTGGCATTCTCCCCCAAGGCCTCAGCTTCAGCAGCCTCCTTGAAGAGGGTGTCAACAATTGCAGTCATACATCTTCTATAGAGCAGAACAGAAGTCCAGTTTCCCGCCAAACGTGAAAGCAACTTGGCCGTCACTGCTGGAAGGGCTGCAATCCTGAATGAGAGACAGGATAGGGCCAGTCTCTTTGATATTGGAGCTGCAACTGTTGTCAGACCTCTCCGCACGAGAGCATCGGAGGAATCAATCTCTGCGCCAGCGGCCTTGAACCGCGTCGATGCCTCAACATCCTTCTCGGCTGAGCCAATGACACCATAGGTTTCATAGGCTTTTCGAGCCCAACCCAGGGCTTTCCCTGCAAAGGTGATGAGAGGGTCTGCACCAAAACTGTCTCTACAAATCACAAAATAGTCATCAATGATTAGGCCCTCCCACTGAGATGTCACCGGAAAAATTGAGTGCCCCTTCAGTCGGTGCTCTTCTGTCAGAAGCCCGTGCCGCTGCAAAAGATCCTCATGACCCTGTAAGGCAAACTCAACGCCCAAATGATCACCTTGAAAAAGAGAACCAAAACAAGGGTGTAGGCCATCCCCGGCAGAGGAAGTGGTGACATCAGGAAGGAGTCCAAACCCGTCACCCTGCAAGGCTCTATCCTTTTTCTTCTTGCGTCCAGTCTCCTCTCTTTCTTTGTGTTTCTGCATTGCCTGAAGACCCGCTAGCTCATCCTCAGAAAACTTGAAGGGCAACATGTTTGTACAGGCGCGTTCATAGGTGACCGCTGTCTGGTGGTAGAAATCGCGCCTGTCTGTTACACTGCCAAAAATTTGCTGTGAGCCACGAGCCACACTGAGATTGGTCAGCAAAAACCCCGGAGGCAGATATTTGGAAGGTCCATCAATGGCTCGTTCCATCATATTGGGTAAACGTCGATCACCTATCTGCCTGTCGTGCATCGCTGACTTGTGGGCATTGAAAACACGTGAAAACATGCCATTCTGAAAAGGGGAGGCCGCAAGCTCCAACAAGCCCTTTGTGTCCCACAGCTTTGCCAACTTGAGGTTCTCATCGCGAGACTCCTGCTTGAAGCAAGGGCCCGCCGCAAAATCAACATCCTCACCATGCAAAAGAAAACGAGGTTCTTGGAATGGGAGCCAAAGTGGCCCTGAAAGAAAATCACTCATCTTCCACTTTCCCTCACCAACCAGCTTCAGCCTATCGACGCAAAGGTTCTTGTAAGGTTGAAGCTCAGGGTGCTCTTCAGCTGAAATTACGGCAGGATCCGGCTTGAACTTGATGTGTCGTGGCTGGGCATAACTTTGTCCCAGCTCGGGGTGCACGTTGATGAAATTTTCCATCTGCATCAGCATAGCAGCTAATTCAGGTCCAGAGCGACCAGGAATCATTGAGTGCTCTTCCTGGTGAACTCCACACGCATCAATGAGCAGCCTCAAGCGCTGGTAACAACTGCGCTGCAAAGCATTTGGCTGCCTCCCAATCTCCGCAAGAGTAGGATGTCGGCCAAGGAACATGTAGTTCAGACAATAAACCACAACATGCAAAAGCCTCTGTCGAGCTTTCGCGGCCAACCTCCGTCTTGAAAGACCAGGGCCACTGCCATCAAAGCAACCAGGGTAGGGCACCGGCAGAGGAAAAGATGCGGTAGACGAGGCACATGGGCCACGCCAGCAAGCAGTGAAAGATCTTTTGAGGCGCCAGCCAAAACTTGTTCTGCACCTCAGAAACCAACGCGGGATACAAAGTGCCCACGTGTCAAAACTGATTGTAGCTGTGAAAGGGCTTGTCTCCGGTCCCTGACTCAACTTGTTTTTGGTTGGGCGCTCATGGTCTGCTAGGACTCCACCTCCTCCGCAACAGCCTGAGAGCCCTTGCCCCCTCCCTTCCGCTTTGGGTTGCCTTTCGCCTTTGGCTTTGGTTTTGCTGCAGGAGGATCTGATGAAGTCTCGGAACTGCGGCTCTGCCCAAGAAGCTCCACCCGCTTGTTGGAGATGACTTCCAATTCCTTGAGGAACGCCAGAGCACATGTGACCCATCGTTGATCGGCTAAAGGCGCGAAAGCCCTGGTGCGGGAGGTGCTCATCATCTGTCTGTTGACAAAGATTGAGGCCGGTGCGTCCTCTTGCAAACATAGGAGAGTGGCTAAGTCCATTCTGCCACCGTCCAAACATGCCTGTTCTATTGTCACTGCCAGCAAAGCCACTGTGTCCATCGCGGCATCCATTTGCCCTGCCATCATATAGTCCAGGGCTGTCATGACCTGGAACTGCAGCTGGCCTAGCTCCCGCTGTCTTCCGTATCCTCCGAATCTCTCCAAGTAGCGTACTCCAGAAACACCACGATTCAAGAGCTCTTGGGGAGAGGCATCTGAGGAGCTGGTTGGAGACATCCGGCGTGATCTGCAAGACTGCACGGAAGAAAAGGCCCTTCTGTTGCGCCAGCTCTGCTTGAAGCTTTGCTCGGCCCGTTGCTCCTCGCACCCCCGCACTTGATGAGGCAGTCAACTCGCTCATTGGATCGCCCTGAACATGTGCTATCTGGGCAACCAAACTCGTCAGCGCCTGTGATTGGGCTAAAACAGCCTGGGCTAAAGCATCCCCGGAAATCTGGGCAGATCTGGGTTCGGGGCCCGCTCTCTCTTCTTCCAATGCCTCTAACTCCAATGGTTTCCCGAGTCCAGGGGATGCCAACAAACCAAGGTTCTGACGAGCCGCAGTTCGTGGGGGGGGCTGCAGGGTCTTTGCAAGGGCGGATACTGGTAGCTGAGGCAAGTCCAGTGCCGCTCCCAAGGGCTGAGCTACTGCAACTGCTGCGCTCTTGCCCAATGTGGGCAGCTGATCCTCCAACCTCTGTTGTCTTGTACTCAACAAGGTCAACTGCTGGGACATCTGTGGCAGCATCCCCAAAACTTCCTCCAGCTGTGTGGACAACGCGGCTGTAGTGACCCGCTTTGCCTTTTGCCCACTTCCTGAAGGCGTAGCCCTTCTGGCAGGAGGTCTTCGCTGCGGCGGAGTTGCATCTGGGTCTGCGAGATCCTCTTGCTCCTCGGGGGAATAGAACGCAGCCAGCTGTTCTGAAGTGGCTGTAGCCCAAGTCCTCACCAGCGGAACCAAAGCATCTATGGAGGGAAAAGCGAAGGGAGAATCCTCGTCGAAGGCAAAGGTGACCTCTTCGTCCTCCATGAATTCGCGAAGGTGTGGCATGACCCCCTCCGTGCAATCGACGATCCTGACCAAAACTGTGCCTCCAGTCTGTGACACAATTCCTCCATCTGCAAGCATTGCGGGGACCTCGAACTCCACGGAAGGCCCAAAAACACTTGTGGGACTTCCAGCATTGCCCTGCTCGACGATGTCCATGGGAAGAAAACTGGCTGGGACGGCCAACAGGACACCACCCATTCGCCTCATAATCACCAGCACAGATGTCTCGGCGGGTTCTTGGCTTCCTGAATCCAGGGTCCAACTGAGCACATAGGGCACCAATTCGTCCGTGGCCAGGGTCAAACACTCCATAGCTAGAATACCATCCAAGGAGTCCATTGCTCCTACTGACGGATCTCAAAGTCAATGACTCCAGCTCCTGCAAAGTAAACTTGCGCCTCAATCTCTGATGGGAAAGAATGGGAAATTGAGTTGGACTTTGCCAGGTCCTCAATCATCCCCCAATAGGACGCAGCACTCTTGCACAGGGTTGAGGTGTCAAGGTTTTGCGCCTTGATGATGGCGTAGTACCTGGGCCGGAGATCCAGCTGCTGAGAGCGGTTTGGTGTAGGGATCCTCCCTGCTTGAACCGCACCTGCCCACTGACCGGCAGTCCAGGCTCTGCGAATCCGATCTTCACCGGATGTTGAGGACCCAGACAACCTCGTAGATTGAGCCAGTAGATGGCGAGGGCAAGGCTGAAAACTCGAAGCAATAGCACTGCGGCTCTCAGTGTTGTGCACCTCCGTCGGCACTGAAGAGACCAAGTCAAAAGAGCCCTCTGTCCTTGGTGACCTCGCAGATTCCTCTGCTCTTTCAGCGGTGAGTCTGAGCAGGAGTGCAGTGGCTTGATCACGAGGCCCAGCAATGGTGATACGAAGATCCCCCAGAGAGGACTGAACTTCAAAAGGCTCTCCGTCGTGCTTGCTTTGGCTCATACGCGTACTCAGCCAGAACTGAGTACCGAGAAGGAGGCGCAGAAGGAGATGGAATGGGCGAAGCAGGAGCAGGTGAAATCCAAGTCCAAAGAGTCCAAAGGGAAAAGAAGGTGGCGCAGGTGCCAGTGACAAATCCACAGAGGAAAATCAAGGCAAGAAGAGAGAAGGGAGGCTGAATGCAGTAGGCAGGACAACCCAGGCTCCACCAATTGTTACGAGCACCTTCAAGACCCAACTGAAAGACCCTTAGGACACTATCGACCATAGAGCTTGAGATTCAAAAGGCCAGGCATTGGATAGCTTGTGGTCAGTCGGTTCATGATTCCATTAAAATATATAGATATACCTTATTACTTATATTTGTATTTACATCTATATTTGTATTTATAGGATTGTATCAATCTATATGTTTATCATTGTTTATCTATCAAATTATACATCAGCACCAGTCCATGTTTCAACCATTTTCTTGCCCTGACTCGACCGAGCTGCCGTAGCTCTTCCAGGTAACGACCGAAACCTCGGACCTCTTGTTGTAATCAAAATAATCTGCTGCGGCGCCTGCGGTGCCTGCGGTGCTGCGGGGGAAGACTTGGGGACTTGGGGACCTAAGTCACTCATCATGCGAAAGGCTGAGAACTAAGAATAGAAATCTGTCAAAATTGTCGAACCAAATGTCTTTAAACCTGCGAAAAAAAGATCAATGCATGCTCAAATGGAAAGCGCCTACAAACTCCACATGGACAAAACTTGCAGCTACCCCAACCACAACTTGGCAGTGCGGCGCCGCTGCCTTCCCTGGAAGATTGTTGCAGAAAACCACCGAAGACCATGTGGTGCTCCCGCATGAAGGCCTTCACGCGTCGCTCCAACGCTAGGCGCGTGCGGATCTCTGCACGCAGCGCAGACGCAGAACCTGAAGCTCAGCATCCGAAACCCATGCCACCTCCATACCTGTACCTTGAAGAATCTTCAGAATAATAAGGGCCTTCAGGAAGCGTGAAACTGAAAAAGAATGATGTTTCACATGTTTCACATGTTTCACATGTTTCACTACATCAATTAAGTTGGAGCAATTGGAACCCACCTGTTTCCATGAGGGCCATTGTTTGCCCATGCGAAGCATAGTGAAGATCCCACCAGTTTCTCTCGTCGCAGGAAAAGATTTGCGCTTTGAGACAAAGTGGACTCCAGACCTCCATGACTCGGCGGATAGTCTCCTTCAAGGTGCCAGAAACAATCCAGCAACCTCAAGAAGAACATGTTGTTTAGCCGGTAGCCACAACATCTAGCTGTCGTTGAACAACAACAACAACAACAACAACACCAACACCAACAGCAACAGCAACAGCAACAGCACCAGCACCAGCACCAGCAGCAGCAGCAGCAGCAGCAGCTGTTAAGCAACAGCTGTTAAGCAACAGCAGCAGCAACCCCACCACAACCAGGATGAGAAGAACAAGAACAAGAACAAGAACACAAAGAAAAAAACACCAACAAACACCCAACACCATAGCAGCCATAACACCATCAACACCGCACAAATGCGATCATCGCCGGTTGCTAGTTCCGCAGGCCTGCCTCTACAGACATGTTGTGCCTGTGCGAATCCAAGATTTCATGGGTAGCATGGGACTTTTGTGCCAAGAGCATCGACATGGCCATAGCAGAATTCGAATCCTGCGGCTTCAGCAGGTGTCTTTAGAGAGGGCTACCAGGCAAAGAATCAAAGCAATCACATGAATATAGTAAATATATATATATAGATATAGATATAGTATCTCATATAATATCTTATCATATTATATATATATGTACGGATGATACACAATACAGATCTGCCAAAGGTTTTAAATGTAGAGTTTTCAGAGGCAGAATTCCCAAGTAGTACTACACAGACTTCTGCAGTATTCCCCAAATCGCTCCACCAACCGCCCCACCGATCATGCTTCTACAGCCAATCCTCACTCACTTGAAGATGCGCCACGAAAGAATGAGGGTGGGAGAAGGCATCACATTTGTACTTGGTTGGCACTTCCTCGTCTAGCGTCGCCAAATGATAATGTTCCTCCTTCCGGTTGGGTGCTCCATGCGGTTGCAGCCCAACAATTCAGTGATGTGGCTTCAAAACAAGGCTTCTCAGCTCAAGGTTTGTGATGCTTTTGATCTCAGATGCAAACCAGTTCAAAAACTGCATGTCAAATGTCAAACAACCCCCGTCCTTCAGTAAGCCTCTCTCCACCAATGGCCAGCCCTCTTCTACAAAGCGGTCCAGCAACTCAATCATCGATGCATACATTGGCATCTCAACATATGTAGGGACCTGGATGGTGTGGAAAACAGCCTTTCTTGCATATGTCTATGATGACATATAAATGACTAATGATCCTTGAACGGAAAAAGATCCAGGATCGGTGTAAGCGGATCATCTTCAAAACTGAGAACTTTCCCATACTGCTTGATGTCAACCCACCTGGGACTGCAGCAAGCAGCTGGCTATCACAAGGCATTCCTGGCACTGATAATGACTGATAAATTACAAAAATGGGAAAGGGGTTGGACACTGTAAACAGATTTGCTTGAAACTCGCCAGAATTGGGCAAATAGCTGAGCACTATCTTGGGTCTGATTGTAATCCTTGACGCATTCCGTCCTAGAAATGTCGAACTAATAGCAACATTTCGTCAACCAGCAAACAGCAGAAGAGACGCGCCGCAACCAGTCCTTGATGTGCTTCATCGAATGCCGAGGGCAGTACCGTGGACCATCTTGTCCTTCCATGCTTTCATGGAGCACAGTGAAGAACCCAGAAACCTTGTCATAAAGAAGTTCCTCGTCATCCTGCCATGGTTTCAGCAATTTGGAAATCCCCAAATGGGTGTGTCTGAAAATGGTTGATAAAATCGCGAAATGACCATTGTTGTAGGAAAAATGATGATCATCCATCAAATTTGGGGGGTACGCCATGTTCAAACAAACATAGATTTATTCACCCACTTGGAAAAACTGCCAAAAAAGTGAGACTGACAGATGCTCTGTGACGCTGGTCCTTTGGGTTCCCAAATTTGTAGGTGATATTTTCACTGTCTGCTTTTTGCCCGTTGATGAGTCCAGAGTAGTTGGTCAAGTTCTGGAGGACGATTGGAAAAGCTACTGCCAAATCACCATATTGGCCCCAGTTCCGAAGAGTTTCAAGAGGCAGATCGGACTCCATCAGGAACTCATCATCCTCAAGCTCTTCTTCATTGTCAAGCTCATCTTCATTCTCTGCATCCTCTGAATCGTCAACACCAAATTTGGTGGTATCCTCTAAACTAAACTTGAACGGGGCCACCGCTCGGAAGTGCAGAGTGAAGAAGACGAGACAGATCACGAAATTCGGCAGAGGCAAACAGTTCCGTCTCCACTGCATTGTTCGGGAAATGATCTCAAGATTTCATGGCTGCAGAAGCGGCCAACACCCTGATCCTAAACTGGAGCCAAACGAACAAAGTCATGATCGGGTAAGATCCCACGGCATTCCTATTCCGCCCATTCTTCCTGGAAACGGAAAAAAGGCCGAACGTATCCACCTGAAGAATCCCAAAGATCCAAGGCAACTCAGATTCACCGATCTGATTTCGATGCCCACAGAAACCCGCAAAAAAACACTCATCGCGCCGCCTGTCCAAAACAAAATCAAGGCCGGGCAGTACGAAGGTATTCATTGACATTTTTAAGGCGAGCTAACTCAAAAAGGTCGCTGTTGAGAAGAAATCCCTTACAATGAACATGTGAATGAATATGTGAAAATTATAGAGATGGACTGGCTGCAAGATGAGAAGTTTGAGGGTTCCAGATCATTTCACAATCCCAAGCTTATCTAGAACTTACAACCGCAAACTCAATTTTGTGACAAATTCTTTCAGCTGCATCAGAACACAAATCCTCCATGGAGACATCTTCCGCTGTGAATCGCACCTCCAAACTCGTTGCGCCAGGTTCGAGGCGCCCCTGGCGGAGTCTCGCAGGGTGTTTGTTGTGTTGGCCCCAAAGACTGAGAGCTGTAAATCATCCCACACTGTTTTGCCGAAGGCATGATGAGTTGGAAAAACGAATGATCATTTTTCGGAAGGCAATGAGGCTAGCGACCTCTTTCCGAAAGCAGATGAAGCTTCCCAGTTTTCTGGACTATTTTTGATGGCTTTTGGGTGGTATCCAGCCAGAATTAAAGCCTTGTTTTCCTTGACAATAACAAAATGTACACCATACCACATGCCATCGCAGCCTTCCAGCACAGGAAGTCACGCATGAAGACAAACGCCAGCTTGGCCAATGATAATTGTAGGAACCCAGGCTGTTAGGAGAGGATTTAAGGAAACGCTGATGTATATAATAAAAGTGATGTATCAAAATTCACCACCTGCAGCTAGGATATTGTTTCCAGACTTCCACGAACTCAAAACTGTGTTAAATTCATTCACATTCCACTAAGTTTAATCACAACAAATAGCGCGGTGGCTCCATGAATATCCAAATCAGCACAGAAAGATAGGAATGCAAAGTTTCAGCATGTTCCCTCTTCATCTATGATTTGGGAATAGTATGGAACAGTCGGAAAAGTACGAGTCAGGTCAATAAACCAATAAACCAACATAAACCAACATGGTTGGACATACCCTTCCTTTGAAGCCTGCTTCGATCTAAAGCTCTGCAAGTGGAAAATGGTGCCAACACGGCCCGCCGCAATCCAAGTCCAGCAGCCAGCGCCTGATATCCACAGCTTCCTGGACCGATGGATCACCTTGGACACGATTTGCGCATCTGCGCGCAGACACCCAAACAGCCTAAGACTCAAATGTTGTGATATCACCAAAATGAAATTACGGGGACACAATCCTGTACCATCGATACAAGATCGAGGGCACTGCCACAGATCAGACTTCATCATTGCTGCGCATCCAAAGCCAAAGGCTGACATGGGGTGTAATGCTGTCCGAGTCGCTCGCAGCATGGAGCTCAACATTCTTGGAGCAGTGATTGAAGTTGGAAAAGTGGTCGGTCAGAGCCTACGCTTCGGAAAAGAAAAAGTTGAGGCATGGTTGCCACTGGAAACAAGTCAACAGAGAAGGTTTTCCTGTGTCGCTTGACTCAGATGCTGAGCAACCGCGAGCTTTTTGAAACATGAAGAGATAAGTCTGTCCCCATACGGACCATAAGCCTACCTACACTGACTGATCAAAACGTGAACAATAGTTCTCTTCACACTATGTCACTGCAGAATCTCTCTTAGGAAGTTACAAAGGCTTCGCACGAAAATGGAGGCCTATCAAGCTGAAAACAAAACTCTTCAAGTCCTGCACAAGGTAATAAAAGACCCTGAGCCCTTCAGGGTCTTTGGACGCCTGCACGTCTGCAAGAGTTCCGATCTTGGATGTAGAAAACCAAATGTGCTCACCTTCAAATACAATCTCAAGCTCCTGCCGGCCAATCCGATCAGGCGCCAGCCAATGGTTGTCATCCTTCTTCATGATCTCGCTGTCCAAAATAATCTGACGCAGGACACCCAGAACCGCTGAGGACACATGACATTCCTTGCGGATCATGGCATAATTCTTGTAGGTTGGATTGTTCGCATAGCGGAAGCGCCCGTCTGGACGGAATTCAAACTCCAAGAAGTCATGGCCAAATTTTCCCTTGTGGCCGACATAGTATCGGACATAGAACTCATCGTTTTCACCAGGGATTGACGTGAAACGGGGCCGATCCTCCAAGTCAGGCGTGCCAGGCTTTGCTTGCCAGAACATCTCTGCCTTTGGATTGTAGATACGAAGAGCTTCATCAGGATCTTGAGAACTGGGAACCCTGTGTTCTGATGATGGCTGCCGTCCACGAATGGATGCTTTCATTCCATGGCAGGTTGTATCCCAAGCCAGCAAAAACTTGGCAATCAGCTCCGGAGGTGCTTTTTTTGGGTCTGGGTGGACGAGGCACTTCACGCGAATGGGACGGTGGAACGTATTTCCCTGGCCTGGCTGGCTCTTGGCGAAGTCTTGCAAGGCCTTCAAACGACGATTGCCACAAATGACCCACACAACCTGATTCCACCTTAAGCACACCAACGGCGTGATATCGTCAATTTGCACTTTGTGATTCTTCAATTTCTTTGTCAAATCAGACACCCTTTGCCCGTTGTGTTCTCCATGCCGAAACTTGGCGGAAACTCGATTGTGCGTATGCCTCAATTGGTCAACATCCACCATCTCCAATAAATGCTGCCATCTTGCCAGAGCAGTTGGTTGACGCGAGGGGTCCATGTCCGTTCCCTTGCCTTTGCTCAAATCATTCAAAAATTGTATCTGTTGTTCATTGAAGCGGTGTGGTTCGCCTCTTTCGTGCGGCTCATCTTTCACAGGTTTCTGAAGTTCGGCCAACAAATCAAAGATGGACTTCACTTCAACCCCGCGAAAAGCAGTGCCTACAATTTCGATGTGCTCCTGATCAGCCATGCGCTTCTTACCGCCCACCCAAGTTCTTAATGTGGAGGAAGGACGCAGCAATGATCAATTTGAGCCATCTTTGAGGCAAGCACAAGCAAAAGAAGGACTACTTCACCATGCAGATCCTTGCACATGCAAGCTGGTTTGTCACAACCAAAGATGACCTTCCGAGACAGTACTTAGACTCCGAAACCATCAGTGCCCATAGGCCAACCAACATGCGCCAGTGCACAACATCCTGCCTTGCGATCTGCATTGCCAGAGGTTCGATGCTGGGAGATGTCCTCAGTGGAGGCCAGAACCTCTGAAGAATAACCAAGGTACTGCCAGAGCCCCCGTGGCACTGATCGGTCAGAACTTATCGCATTGGCAACAACAACAACAACAACAACTGCCCTGCATACTGCGTTCAAGAAAAGCATGCAAAGGTCATGTTTTGGCTACCTGGAGCTGTTTGAGTTTGGGTATCATAACCTTCATGGCATGGCAAAGCTTATTGCGTCTATTGGCTAATGAACTTGGCTAATGAACATGGTTCCTAGTAAGATGACAACGGTCATGCAGATGGGGCAGAGAACCCCAAGTCAACCAGGATACAACCCCAAAAAGACAACATGATAATGACAGAGATTTCATCAACTTGGAAACGGTGCAACTGACCACAGTGGCTCTTTCATGGCCTCCAATCTTCGGTAACTAAGCCCAGGCTCAAACGCATGTGGTGAACTCTGAACTCCATATTCTCACGTAGCGGGCGAATCACATGGAGGACTTGCAATGCAATTTCACTCCTGGGAACAAATGTACCCAAACCATCCCAAACCTATCCACACAAAATCTTGAACCTTGGGACCTTGACGATACCTCTTTAAAAAGATCCTACAGTCTCTGCTGCGCTCAGGTGCCTACTGTTCCGAATGAAGTTCTAGCGGTGCCACTGTGTCTGGACATGTCTGGACTAGATCCCCCCACCTTCCGTCTGTTCATAGAGTGGGTGCTGGTACGTGCGAACCGTGAAGCGCTACCAGTCACCAGTCATGCATCTCATCCGTGTCTCAGCAGGGGAGACATTGCCGGGTGAGGTCTCTGCACAGCTCCAGCAACTTTGTCATCTGATGTTAGAATCCAGGTCGGCGATGATAGCGGTGAGGAAATCGAAAGCCACGACCAACATCCAAGCCTTGAGAGCCACAGGAAGTCATGGGAATCTCTCGCAGCTTCTGGACATTCGCAATTTCCACCACCACGGCGTCGCGCTGTCGTTGGCCATCGACCCTGACCCGATGCAGCGCGTTGGTGTCAAAGAGAAAACCGCCACCAGCGGGGCTGAACAAACGCTCAACACTGAAGAATGACTTCACGCTTGCGTCATCGAAACGGGACATGTGGTCAAGACCATACCAGTAGTAAGCCATGCTATTGCTGCCTCTGGCGATCTCTGTGTAAAAGCCATCCTGGATGAAGAACCGCAAAATCGAATCCACAAATCGAGACGAGTGAGTAGTTTTGTTCAAAACAGTACATCTAGCAATACCACTTGAGCTCTTGCAAAGAAATCACTCACATCACACCTGTTTCAAAGTTCCTCCCCCTGTGCCCAGTCCTCACCAACGTCTTGCAACAGAATGAACAGCTTCAGTCTGCTGCCACAGTTGTCGTGGTGCCACGTGCTGGAGCTGTACTCTGCCGGAGTGAGCCCGGGCTTGAGCCGCAGCAGGTAATAGCCGGATACTTTGACGTCTGCACCAAGGTAGAACGAGGCCAGCTCCAAAATGGCATCGGAGGAAAACAATCTGTCCTTGGTCACTTGCTCTTGCGGCTATGAGATCTCTAGCAGCATGGCCCAGTTTTTGGAGAATGTTCATAGATGTGGACCTGTTGTATTTTGAAACTGCCAATTACTGCCATCTATTCCCATCTCTGCCAAATCTGATTTCCCATCCCCAACAGCCCCAACAAGTTCCATCTCCCATCGACTCCGACATCCTCCAAGTTTCCAGGGCGCCCCAGCGCATCGACCTCCGCAGCATCCGGGCCTCGGCCTCCTGGACCTCCTGGGAGGCTTGGAAGGCCTGGGCCACCTCCAACTGCAGCAGATCCATGTCCAGCCCTAGGGCGCTTAAGCGCAGGAAGCCGTCGCGCTGCAACCTACCACAACAAGGATGGAAAGTGGATGGAAACTGCAAACAAACCGGGAAGTACCACAATTGCGACTCCCGGCTACTGCTTGGAGCATGTTCTGGGTCTCCCGAGTCTGCAATCTAGTTTCTTAGTGTTTGGGAAATTTGTTCAGCCCATCAATGCGTTGACATACTTCCCTTTTCCGTATGCAGTCAGCATCACCCCACTTCCTCAGCAGGTCTGAGGTAACCATGATGCCCTGGTGATTTTGGCCACTTGCCCAGGGTCTAACCACAGCCGCCACAGCCATTCAAAGGCAAGTCACTCCAAGGCTGCCGTGATCGGTGCAGCCTGCAATGCTGTGGGCCGTGGTCGATTTCGGTACAGCGAGTCCGCGATGACCAAGGGTTCAGCACCTGCGTTACTGGGATAAAACTTAAGACTTAAGACAGTTTTACACGGTTTTCCGGCTTCCAAGCTGGACCAAAACGTGATCATGTTGTCCTGAATCTTGAGGCAATATGCAAAAGGCATCACCTTTAGTGATTTCAGTTCAAGTCTACCGAACCAATGTGCTCATTGATGTCAAGGGTATAGTTCTCTATAAGAATGAAGTGTGACAGCCTCACTGCATACTGATGCTGATACTCGACCTGTCTGGGAGGACCTGTACGGGGTCGCGGGGACCAGGTCTCCCTATCGACTCAGGCGGACCCCAACCGCTGCCTCTTCCAAAGTACCAGCTGATCAGGTCCTTGACGTCTCGGTCCACGTTTGAAGCGTTCCACTCCACAGCAAAGCTCCGGCGCTTCAGGTGTACCACTGTGAAATCCATGCCCAACTGGGAAAAATATAAGCCATCTTGAAAGACGGACATCAAATCAGAACACTTTCTCTTCAGTTCACCGCCTTCTTGTCGAAGGGACAGAGACTTCAGGTGATCCATCAGCGTTTCCATGACCAATCCTCGAACGGATACATCATAGATGTCCAGACTTTGAAATGGCTGTGGTATTGAACACGTTCCATCAAGTGCACCGTGGGAACCCATGCCAAACATATGTGGCAGCCATGAATCTGCAAGGTGCGAAGGGTACAAGCTGAATCCAACGAAACGTTTGGGCAGCCGCAGGCTTCCCGTCTCCATCGACACTGCAGGTTCTTTGTATCTCTTCTCAAAGACCACCAGGCCATCGTGGAAGTGAATAGCACTGGTGGAGCGAGTAAGTGCTGAAATCCTGGACAAGCGAAGTGTTCCATGCCATTTTTGCTGGAAAAATTCTAAGAATTCCGAGGTTAGGGCACATAATGGCACGTATGATCCGAAATAAGAAACTGAAAATGTAACACCCAAGAGTCGTGCACATCGAAGGTCTCCAGGGCGGACACTTTAAGGTACTCCAAAAATGCATGATCTGCATTGGTTGAGCATCATATTGATCATATTCCCTATCAAACATGGTTAAACATGGCTAAACATGGTTAAACATGGTTAAACATGGTTAAACATGGTTAAACATGACTAAACATGGTTAAACATGGTTAAACATGGCTAAACATGGCTAAACATGGTTTTAAAAAACCTATTTTGGTGGAGTATCCCCGCACAAAGCCATGGGACCCATGGGACCCACATGGGCTTTTGGCCCGAGCTTCGGCACTTGCAGCGTCCCGCTGCCACAGCGTCCGCGTCGGCTGCTGATCACCGAAGCACTGCAGGACCAAAAGGCCTCGAGCTCATCGACCTTGGCCTTGGCGAATTCGATGAAGGAGTCTTCAGATCTCCAGCCACCTAACAGTTGAAAGATGTTGAAAGTAGATTTCGAGTGGGAACGAACATGAACGAACCAAGCGATGAGTATTTGCTGAGGTATTTTGGTCACTAGAAGTCACTAAAGATGTGCTTGAATGAGAGACTTGCAGGAAAAGGCCACTGCGGAGTCCAACTGGATATGCATCGATCCCGTCAGGTCCGGCAAATGATTGTCACATACCCTCCGAGCCTCCATAAGCCGTTTTGTATGAGGTGCCAATGTCTTCCACAATGTAGATTCCACCATTCGGATTCAGACATGGATACAACGCTTCAAAAGCCAGCTTTTGATGCCAGTTCAAATGTGAAGCATCATCCACAATGATGTCAATTCGTTGGATACTTTCGCAAAGGAAGCTTAAGAAAGCAGGATCTCCAATGTCTCCGATGAAGTTTCTGATTCGCCTCACCACATTCACAAACCAAGCCTTAATCAACCAGTTCAACCAGTGATGTTTGAGCATTGTCAGCTTGAAAATGAGAACCACATGATATAAATCCACATGACATGTCCTCTAAAGAAACTGCCTGTTGGAGATCTCGGCCACCTTGGGCTCAATATCTACGCCATACACGCGACTTCTGAGGCCTAGGTAGTCCAGCCACATCAACTGCGAGCCACCACTTTGGACGCCCAGCTCCAGCAATGCACAGGAAGTGTTCCGAAAGCTGGAAAGATACCTGTCCTGGTGCAAAAATCAATGGCTGAGGGTCGATTCCAAAGGACCAAGTTATTTTACAAGATAAGAAAAGGGAAAATGTACACACCATCCCAGGACCAAAAAGAAAGAAAAACAAATGGTAATCAGTTGCTAAGTTTCCCTGGCCAACAAAACAAGCCAGGAAAACAAACCAACAAAACTCAAGTTGCCTCTTGAGACAGTTTCTAGGGAGCCGGAATCAGACCTGCACATGGGTGCGCAAAAGTAGAAAGTGATGCCAACCTTCATGCCTGAGATTCATAAACGCTGAGAAATGACGACCATTTTTGGGCATACAGACGTTGATCCTGTGCAAACCAAATATGAAATGGGGAATTTGCAGCGACAGAAACTGAAAGCATTCGGGATAGAACCGCGAACGTCCATGGCATCAAGCAGTATCGCTGAGAGAGAAGTTTGGAGCACTTGGTACCACACAGTGATACAAATTAAGAGCTTCATATTTTTCAATGTCGACTGCAATTTCTGTTGTCTGTCATTGTCTGCCTGAGGTTTCAAGAACGGGCTGTTTCGGAAAGCACTCATCGAGTTCATGCAGACTCTGGACCCTTACAACTAATGTTTCGGGCCAACGGCTTTGGAGACGGAAAAACGGGGGTGCCATGATGTCATGTCAGGACATGGACCTCCCCCACCTTTGAAATCTTTGTGCTGTGCCCTTCACACTGTATGAGTATGACGATGCTCAAGTAGTGGGCCACAAGTCCTTTAGATTGTGTGATTGTGTATTAGATATATCAAATGAGCGAATTGCTAGAGTGTTGCTTGGAGACTCCTTTCAAAAAAATCGTATCCGTTCAGTACATGCTTCTTTGCCATACATCGACTGCAGCAGTCAGGCAGCAAGTCTTCAGTGCTAGTAGATGCTAGTAGCTATTCAAAGCTTTCTTTCTGCGCCATGCCAAGATCCAGTCTGTACATCGCTCAGCAGTTTCACCTAAATAGGTTTGGATGGGCCCGCAATTCTGAAGCAGAATGAACATCCTACAATCTCATGACATCACGGTGATGAGAAAGTACAACATACTAATACTAGAACTTACTGGGTGATCCCATCGCAATGATGAGTGCACCCTGCAATTGGGCCAAGTGTCGAGGAACTTCCACACTGCCACATTTTTGGGCTGGAAAATGATGGTGAGAATGAATCAGAATGTTTGATGCTAAATGAATTGGCAACGGATCATGCTGGCGATGGATTGTGCGCCAACGAAACTGAAATTTGCTCTCTTTGAGACACTTCAGAATCAGGCGGTGCCTCTTTGGATACATCTTGCACCGCGAAGACTGCCCATAGTAAGGTACACAAAGCAGCGCCTGAGGCAAAATATCCAGCCAAATCTAGATTTGACGCATCAGAGACCATGCCAAAAAGGGGCGGCACGCAAATGCCACCAATCGAAGTCACGGTCTTCCTGAAGTGGACTCATCATTTTGACTGCATAAGTTCTGAATCTTGGAGGCTTTGCATAGAGTCATGAACAAAACATATGGAAAAGAGATATATACATGTCTATATAATATATATATATATATTATAACGTGTACCTGAGAAGGGGGGAACGAAAGCCAGCATCCCATCTACCCCTATTTTCCCCCAATGATTTTTCACCCACAGACTTTTCCCCCACATACTTTTCACCCAGAGACTCTTCACCCAGAAACCCTTCTTGCACATACTTTTCACCCAGAGACTCTTCACCCAGAAACTCTTCACTCTTCTTGCACATACTTTTCACCGAGACTACCCAGAAACTCTTCACTTTTCACCCAGAGGAAACTCTTCTTGCTCTTCACCCAGAAACCCTTCTTGCACAGACTTCTTGCACAGACTTTTCGCCCATATACTTTTCACCCAGGGACTCTTCACCCAGAAACTCTTCACCCAGAAACTCTCCTTGCACATACTTTTCACCCATATACTTTTCACCCAGAGACTCTTCACCCAGAAACTCTTCTTGCACATACTTTTCACCCATATACTTTTCACCCAGAGACTCTTCACCCAGAAACTCTTCTTGCACATACTTTTTACCCATATACTTTTCACCCAGAGACTCTTCACCCAGAAACTCTTCTTGCACATACTTTTCACCCATATACTTTTCACCCAGAGACTCTTCACCCAGAAACTCTTCTTGCACATACTTTTCACCCATATACTTTTCACCCAGAGACTCTTCACCCAGAAACTCTTCTTGCACATACTTTTCACCCATATACTTTTCACCCAGAACTCTTCACCCAGAAACTCTTTTTGCACATACTTTTCACCCATATACTTTTCACCCAGAGACTCTTCACCCAGAAACTCTTCTTGCACAGACTTTTCACCCAGAGACTCTTATTCAGAAACTCTTCACCCAGAAACTCTTCTTGCACATACTTTTCACCCATATACTTTTCACCCAGAGACTCTTCACCCAGAAAATCTTCTTGCACGTACTTTTTACCCATATAATTTTCACCCAGAGACTCTTCACCCAGAATCTCTTCTTGCACAGGCTTTTCACCCATATACTTTTTACTCAGAAACTCTTCACCCAGAAACTCTTCTTGCACATACTTGTCACCCATATACCTTTCACCCAGAGACTCTTCACCCAGAGACTCTTCTTGCACATACTTTTCACCCAGGGACTCTTCACCCAGAAACTCTTCTTGCACAGGCTTTTCACCCATACACTCTTCACCCAGAAACTCTTCCCCAGAAACTCTTCTTGCACGTACTTTTTACCCATATACTTTTCACCCAGAGACTCTTCACCCAGAAAATCTTCTTGCACATACTTTTCACTCATTTACTTTTCACCCACAGACGGATCAACCATATATTTCTCACCCACAGACTTTTCCCCCATATGCCTTTCACCCATAAACTTTTCACCCAGGGACTCTTCATCCAGAAAATCTTCTTGCACAGACTTTTCACCCAGAGACTCTTCACCCAAAAACTCTTCTTGCAGATACTTTTCACCCAGAAACTCTTCACCCAGAAACTCTTCTTGCACATACTTTTCACCCAAGGACTCTTCACCCAGAAACTCTTCTTGCAGATACTTTTCACCCATATACTTTTCACCCAGAGACTCTTCACCCAGAAACTCTTCTTGCACAGACTTTCACCCAATACACCCAGAGACTCTTCACCCAGAAACTCTTCTTGCACATACTTTTCACCCATATACTTTTCACCCAGAGACTCTTCACCCAGAAACTCTTCTTGCACATACTTTTCACCCATATACTTTTCACCCAGAGACTCTTCACCCAGAAACTCTTCTTGCACATACTTTTCACCCAGAGACTCTTCACCCAGAAACTCTTCTTGCACATACTTTTCACCCAAGGACTCTTCACCCAGAAACTCTTCTTGCACATACTTTTCACCCATATACTTTTCACCCAGAGACTCTTCACCCAGAAACTCTTCTTGCACATTTTCACCCATATACTTTTCACCCAGAGACTCTTCACCCAGAAACTTCTTGCACATACTTTTCACCCATTACTTTTCACCCAGAGACTCTTCAGAACTCTTCTTGCACAGACTTTTCACCCAGAGACTCTTCACCCAGAAACTCTTCTTGCACATACTTTTCACCCATATACTTTTCACCCAGGGCCTCTTCACCCAGAAACTCTTCTTGCACATACTTTTCACCACATATACTTCTCACCCAAAGACGACGGATCAACCATATACTTCTCACCCACAGACTTTTCCCATATATACTTTTCACCCATATACTTTTCACCCAGAGCCCCCCCCAGACCCCCTATTTTCACTTCGTTCGCAAACAACAACTGGCCAGCTTCCCGGCCGGCTTTCGGCCTGAATTGTCAGGAATGCTCTACATTCTGCTTCACAGGCCATTATGTACCTCTTCCACGGTACTTTTGGTGGTTAATTTTTGTGACAGCTGCTATGTCTACGCCTTCAAACCTCGCATTATGCGCTAGCCCTCCTTCCTCCTTCACACAAACACCTTCCCATCTGACATCACAGTGCCCGACAAAGACCCTCGAGCCGGGCGACTTTTGTCCTTCCTCCACCAACATCGACAGCAGTGGCAAAAGGCGCCTTTACCCTTACCTTTCCTATCTGTGCTAGCACTCCTTCCCCCTTCTCGCAGACATCGGCTCCTCTGCCAAGCACCCCAAAAGGCTCCCCAAAATGCGGACCTAGGGGGAATCAATACCCTACCGTCACCCTTTTGCCGCATGGTACATGACCCGGAAAAACGCTCCCAAAACACACCCTTCCCCCCAAGTAATAGCGAGATTTTGGCGGACTTGGGCAAGCCCTCCCCCCAGACCCCCTTATACTCACTTTGTTCGCAGACAGCAACGATCCAGCTAGCTGGCTTTCGTAATATGTATATATATATATATACATATATACACACACTCATAAATCATGGTAAAAATCCTGTAGTCGGGATCAAAAAATCTGCCGTCTTCAAAAACTGCAACTATTGTTGCTTTATCGAAAAATGCCCTGCAAAAGAAAATATATACCCAGGTGGTATCCCCAACAGCTAAGGTGGTAGGAAAGTGTGACAGCAAGCCAAAGGAGACCGGAAGCAGAACCGCCACACCAGAACCCACTCGGATACAAAAATGACCAATTTGGGATGATTCTTGGGTGCCCCCTTTTATTTTTAAGAAACCCCAATACACTCGAATTTCATTCTAAACCCAAACTAGCAAAGTGGCAATATGTGGCAATGAATATTCATGGAGTTCCAGGTGTCCTAGCATTCCTAGCTTTGAGCGCCAAGGATCCAGAGACCTAAGAACTGAGTGCGAGCATTTTTGGGTGCAAGTCCAGTTGCGAAAGCATTCAGAATCCCGCCACAAAAACCATTCCCAACACCAAAGACCAAGGCGACTGCTGCCAGGGACCAAGATCCTTTCACCGCGCTCAGCAATGAGAATGCGATACCCATCAACAGCATGGATGGTATCGCGGCAGCCTTCAGACCATACTTGTCCATGATATGGCCTGTCAGGATGCTGGGTTCTAACAACCTCGTGCTATATAAGTCTTGATGTTTCGACCCCATCACACTGACACAGTTCACGGATGCAACAGCTGTGCCTAGTGGTCCAGAAACAACTTTTGACCATTGTTTCATCTCGAAAGGAACATAGACTCATAAAAACCCGATGATGGTCATGGATGTTGGGGTTCTTTCACTCCTTGTTGCTAGACCTACTTGTAGAACCTGGGGGAATGTCAAGATGTCTGGATTCTCCCAACCTGCAGCAATAGTAGTGACAGTAGCATCACATGCCCGGTACCACGCTACACTAGCTCCGATGCCCAGCTTGCTCAAACCAATATGGTGTCCTCGCAGTGGCAATGCCACCATCCACGTATTTCGTATGCCATTCAGCATGGCGCAATACAAACCAGCTCCCAGCAATCCACGCCAGTGATCCCTCAAGACCCTCATCAAGGGGACATTTGCAGGCGCTGAGGCGGTCAGTGCTTCACCATCGCCATCCAAATCCGCACTTTTTCGTCTCAGGTAGAGACTGTGGGATGCGATGAGAAGCATGGCAGTGAAGGACAAGGATGCCTGAGAGAAACAGCATTTTGCACTTTCATCAGGAACCAGCAGGATTTGTTTGTATAAAAACGACTCCACAAAAAATGGGATGCTGGGAAAACGTTTTTTCTTCAGCCACGGGTTTTTGACACATGTCCGTGTCCATCAAGCATGCAGGACTAGAGATAATAGCCAATGCAACTGAAGCAATGCAAGCAGTCTGAACTCTCTGTTTTCCCGATCTTGCCGAACGGTCTGGTTAGACAGAGGTGAAACATGGAATGGAGTTTGAAAAATGTGGTGGTTGTGGGTGGGCCTTTTTCAAGTCCACGAAAAAAAGGAACCCGGCCAACGGGGTGCAGGATGCCCACGTCCTGCTGTGCTTGGACAACCCTGCAGGTAAGGCGTTGCAACTGATGCCTGACTCAACATCACGACTGGCCCATTAAGCCTCGTGCACAGTCAACTCGACAATTGGCCACCAATAGGCCGTAGGTATGGTCCCACCCTTGAGAATAACTGCATGGATATTGCATTGCCAGTCAACCACGTTTCCTTATTCAGCAGCGTTTGACAGTTTGATCACTACGTGAGCTTGACCGTCAATGCAACTGAAGCAATGGAAGCAGTCTGAACTCACAGTTTTCGACTCGGGGGTTGCACGATCTTGCCTCCCCCATTCATATTGTGCAGCTTTCTGGGTCAGAAATTCCAACACTGCTGACAAGCATACTTTGGCATCTGCTGAAACATCTAAGTTGCCAACCAGCAAGGGGTGAGGGACACCACGTGATGGAAAGTCACTAATGTTGGTTTCTGTTGGAACCCGCGCAAACCAAGTGCGTGAGCCAGCCAAAGTCTCAAGCTTCAAATGGTATTCCATCAGCAACTCACCCACAGCACCAGTCGAAGATGCTTTGACAAGTGAAAACCTAACACCATCATTGTCACCAAAATGGACTGTCAACTCATCACCATTGTCCCCATTCCACAAGCTCAGTGAGACAATCGCTGCAAGAAGCTCCAGTTCATAAATGATGGTGCCTTTTTCAGAAGCACCTAATCTTTCACACGTGTTGCAATCCAGCGCAATGCCAAACCACGCAACCACTTCTGCAGAAGCGTTTACAAGAACACCACCCCATCCTCCAGTCATAGGTTGTGGTTCGTAGCTAGAATCTGTGTAAACAAACCACTGTGAGAAGCTGCTTGCAGTTATACACTTAGGTCTCGCCTGCTCCAACTGCATGCACATAGCCTCCAGAGCTTTTCTCAGCTCTTCGTCCAGCACACTGCTTCTGCCATACGCACGGTCAATCAGTTTCTTGAAGGTAAGTATCCGAAAAAGATGTGTGTTGCGAAGGTCACCGCTGGTCAGTGTTGTTCTGCAGTTTGCTGAAGAGCATGGTTTGGCCTTGCGTGAACATGCCTTGGAGCAAGATGCCAATCCCTTGGATGTTGGCAAGCATGCACAAATTTCTGCCGGAGGCCAGCCAAGGTCTTCCAAGTTGCCTCCAATTGTAGCTGATTTTGCGGTAGTTGGAGTTTTCCTGGCCACTGACTTGTCACAAATCCCGTGTCCTTTGATGTCAAAGCTTGAGCAAGACATTCACCTCAGCGTCGCCTTCCCGTAGCCAGCGGGGGGAGTCCAAGGGTCACTCAACAAAAAGAAGCATGGATGCAGATGCCAATCTTCAACGGCCCTGGCCTCTTTGTCAAACCCAGCCCTTGCACACCAAATCAGCAAACTGGCTTTCAAGGAGTGACTCCTGTAAGCCTGACTGTTTGCAGTCCCTTCCAAGAGGCCCGTAGCCAGCATGCTGCTTCTGCAGTTGTGAGAGGCCTTGCATAGAAAGTGCCATCAATAGGTGCGGCCGGCAACAATGGACCCAGTGGTCTCTTGCGAATGTCAAGTCCCGCCTTTTGATATGTTTCCAGCCAAGTTGTTACCCAATCATCATTGCATATGCCACTCCAAGGCACCACAATTGGCAAGTATTGATCTCTCCGAAGTCCCACAGAGGCAGTCTTGTGTTCTGTTGTGAACAGTGTTACAAATTCACCAGCTTCAATCTCAACATGATCAATGTAACGTAAGTCACTCCACCTGGCACATCCATAAAGGCAAATCAGAAAGCAACCAGCTCCAAGCCGATCAATGCAGTTCGAAGCTGTATGTAAAACTTCATGAAGCCGCCTGATGTGCTCAGGTTCCAGCCCTGGGGCTTGGCTTGTAGGGCCCTTGGCTTTGCGCTCAAGGGCTGAGAATCCCATCAACCTGCGTGACCCCAAAATGCTATCTGTACCCCTCAGATCCACAGTGAACTTAGCAAACCTCACTGCTTCGAGGAAGGAACTTGGCACAGTGAATCCTTTTGCTGAATCCAAACGTGGCTGCTTCAGAAACAAGAAGTAGCGTCATACAACCTCTTCAATGAGCGGCAATGGCAAGTCCACCTATCTCCTGACATAGCGCGTTCTTGTCATACCAAGTGAAGAACTTCTTGAATGCTGACGCTCTCTTCAACAGCGTGGATGGACTCTTGACGCAAAACACGCCTTCAGGATTTCACATGCACTGAGACTAGTACTATCTTTCTGTAACTCTGCAGCCAACTGAGGCCGGATGCCCGATGCACTCCAGCAAACTGAAAGAATGCGTAGCCATTGACCACATGCCAGCTCCAACTGTTGCGTCTTGCCATCAAAGTAACTCATATCTTGAATACTCTTAACAGGATGCATGTATTTCGCACCTTCAGGCACGAGAAGCTGTGACAACTGTTGTTGCAACGGCACTGAGGACTCAACACGTGCAACCTGTGGCATCTCAGAAATTCCGGGGCACAACAGCAAAGGATCTGAGGCAGGATTGAACACAGCTGCCATTGTTCCAGCCTCCCATGGAAAACGTAATGACTTTGGAACTTCACGAAACTGCGCGAAGCAGTTTGAAATCAATTCATTCCATGTCTGTAAGGTTGCTACCGGCCCTGTGCTCTGAACCTCTTCAAGACTATCTGCTTCGTGAGTCTCAAGAGGCTCCAAAATTTCAACTGACTCATCTGACTCAGCTTGCGTGGACTCAGGTACATTCTGTAAATGGAAAGGTTCTGACGGTGTGTTGGGAGGTCCAAACAGCGCAGGAGTTCATCTAAGGCCAAGCTATGACTAGCACGAGGCTGCTTTGCCACGTCACTTCTCAAGGCAAACATTCCCTACAGCAAGTCAATTGCACGGAAAGGCAAATCCTTCGATTCAGCCTGGTCATCATGCTCTGTACCTTCACTAGCTAAGCCCAAGCCAACATCTTCTATATGTTGCCAATCTGCTTCCTCAACACTTTGTGTGTACCCAGAAGACCTAGCATCTGCATCATCATCCATGGCAAACTCCCCGGACCGTTTTTCAAGTCCATGAAAAGAAGGAGCCCGGCCAACGGGGTGCAGGATGCCCACGTCCTGCTGTGCTTGGACAACCCTGCAGGTAAGGCGTTGCAACTGACGCCTGACTCAACATCACGACTGGCCCATTAAGCCTCGTGCACAGTCAACTCGACAATTGGCCACCAATAGGCCGTAGGTATGGTCCCACCCTTGAGAATAACTGCATGGATATTGCATTGCCAGTCAACCACGTTTCCTTATTCAGCAGCGTTTGACAGTTTGATCACTACGTGAGTTTCACCTTCCTCACAGTTTCAGACAACTCTATATTTCCTTGAAACAAAAGGGCTGTCTTTTCAAATGGCCAAGCTAAAATTCATGGCTTCCCATTCCCCTTATAAATGGGGTAAAGGTTGTTAAAGATGAGCGAGGCCCCGTTGAAACTTTCCATGGCTCAAAAACTGTGACCTCCCAGGTGTCCGGGCACGGCGCGCTCCCGCCTGAACAAGGAAAATACTTCGCGTGGCCAGGTGTTCCGCCACAACTCCGCTGAGTAAAGCGGCGATCCTCAACGCTCTCAACGCTAGCGCTCTCAACGGATGTGGGATCCATTTCTTTTTGAACAAGTCTGCAACATTCTGCAACCATGTGGCTTGGCAAATGGCCAAATGCACAGCCAAAACCCGATTGGCAAGGATTATTGTAACAGGGACCTAGCCCTTGCCCCTTCATCAGGTGCTTCAAAATTTGCTCGTGAACAATGATGCAGCAGCATGCAGCAACACTAGCTCCAACCGCCAAGGCTCATGATGGCCCACTTCTGGGCCCCTGCGATCTGCGCAGTGATCCGGCCGCGGATTCCAGGAGGAACCTCTGCAGCCATGTACGCCTGGCAGGTGTTGCTCCCATGGCCCCATTGAAGTTAGCGAAGCCAACCACACGGGACCATTGGGACATGTTTTCTGGTTCCACTCGTGGAGCTGAAGGGTCAAGAGCCTGGTATAACAGACTGGATTGCTATGTTCATCCATCCAATTGCTTAGGATGTTTTGGATTGTTTGGATGTTTAGGGTGTTGAGGATCTTTTACTTTGACCCACAATGACCATCATCCTACATCATCCATGGCCAAAGACTGCTCAATGAAACATGATAAACATGGTTGGTCTCCTTCTGTGAGATATCGAAAGATGTGTTGCCAATGCCGCCAATCATGCGGATGACCAGTAGGACATAAACGGATTGGGCTGCGAATGACAACACGGCCGTGGCCACCTTGGACAGCGAAACGAAAAAAACTTCAGGCGGGAGCACATCCTCTGTTTCCAAAGTGCTTCCAAATCTCCCAAACGCAGTGCAATATGTGCAATGAATAGATTCGGATACAACATGCTATGGTTCTTAGCCTGTGAAGACATGAAGTGAATGGTTTTGACACCAAGTTGCCAGCACTCCCAATGCCAAGCACGAAGCCAAAGAATTGTGCAAATGTTTCATCCTCAATTCGAAGGCATGTAGTTAACCTTCTTCCCAATACTGTACCCTATTTTTTGTCCCAAAATGGGTCCTCCAAAGCATTCCCAAGGAACCACTCAAGTTTCCAAAAAATTGAACTGAAAGATTGCTAAGCATTCCAAGTTTCATTACGCCAACAGCCGGAGAAAAGATGAATGTGGAGATTGGATACGATGAAGCGATGATGCCCACCATGCTGTGCGACCCTGCCAAGTCGACTGCCACAAAGATTGGCAACCTCAATGGGAATCGGGGTTTGCATATGTATGTATATATATATACATATGCACAATGTACACAACAAAAGTGCACCTTGTTTGTTTCAAATTGTGACGGCATTCTCAAAATCTGCGAAGCACTTTGGAAAAGAGCGTAAGAAACAACACATAAACAACATTCATTATGAAGGACCCCCCCCCACAGTTCAAGTTTCGCAATCGAGAAACATGGGCGTCACAAAAGTTTGAGCCTTGCCCTGCAGCAAACCCGGCCTCAGTGGTGGATATTTATATAATCTATGATATAATATATCTATATCTATATCTACATCTACATCTACATCTACATCTACATCTATATCTATATTTATATTTATATTTATATCTATATAGATATGTATATAATAAATGATCACAGTACAAAATCAACAAATCCGAATAATCAGTCATGAACAACAATTGTTTTTTTCAATTAGTCCAACCACATGAACCAAAATTGCCAATCCAAAATTTGCAAGATGAATGCAAAAGAGTCTCAATATCAGTCTCACAATGAAATTCCTGGAAGAAACCGTTGCAGGTGCTCCTCCATCTCCATTGGCAAGGTCCGAAACAACCGCCATGCTGCAATCAAATTCAAGAAATCAATGTTGACTGCTTTCTTGGACTGCTCTGCTGACAGGACCAAATGTAAGATTTTTTTGTGTGGCAACATGACTGTTGACCTCCCGCTTTCCAAACTGATTTCCTGATCTTGTTTTCAGTGTAATATCAACTTCGACGGCAATGTCTCCAAAACATTGAAAATTTGGCATTCTAGGTGGATGTCACCAATCTGCAAATGTAGTTGCATGTGGATTTTGCGGTCCACTGTGATTAAAGCAAAACAAGCTCGGCATCGATGCACTCACAAATTATGAAATCAATCTCTGCGTTGCCTACATGTTGATGCTGATATATGATTATTTGATACAGGACAACCAACCAACATTTCGAAACTATAGAAATTCAAAACGCTGACCAAACTGATTGAACGAAACAAAGACCAACACAAAAAATGTCTTCAAGGGATGCAAAACGAAATCTACAATGATTTTGCACATGTTCTTCAAAACCGATCTTCAACGCTTTATGGCTCAACTAGTTTGATTTGCAAAAGTGCGAATTTTTTTGGAACGGAAAGCGCCTCAGAATTCATCGTGATGTACACTACTCGATTTGTGCTGTGACACGTGCACAACTACATGACTGACATGCAATGTACACAACTGCAAATGCGGAAATGTGTTTCACCCCGCCTTCATGTTGGTTATTTGCCAAACATTACTATGGCACAGGCGGCACAGGTTCCGCAGGCTGTATGTTCAGCCATCTCGTCTTTCATTTCAAAGTGAAAATTCCACTTGTGAAGAGTTGGCCATTGGCACTGAAGCCTCTGCTAAGGACTCTTACCTTAGCCATTGACTTGCTTCATTGGTGCCCTTGCGCCTCTCAGATTTCCATCTTCTTTTTGGCACCTCCTTGATGCTCTTCTTCAGCTGGCGAATCTCCATCCTCAGGCCCATAGTTCACCAGGGCTCAGAAGTCAAGGTCAGACGCTTCTGACTGGCCACATTCGGCGTAGCGCCGAGCCCTTTCGGGGTTTGTTTCCGCCTGCATGGTCTCGTCAGAGTCGTCCGCAGGCCTCCTATCTCTCATTGCACCGCCCAGCCGTCCAAAAAGTATAGCAACCTCCTCGTGGCGGTTAAACTCCAGCAAACCCATAATGTTCCCGTCGGCTTGGCAGGCCATCATCACGACATGCAACTTCTCAATCTTCTCCCAAGTGGTGAAGGGGAGAATCTTCATCTTCACTCATCTCATTTTTTTCAGTGACCACCTCTCTAATCCTCAGTTTCTCGGTCGCTGAGCTCTCTCAGGCACATGGGAGATGCAGCTCAGCAGCCAGTAGCTGAACGCTGAACGAGGCTTCTTACTGACGGTGCCTTGTCACGCGCTCAGTTGATCTTCGATCATCACCTTAACATTAATAACTCCCCTCAATAACTCCCCAGCGCTATTGCATCTTGCAAGTTTGGTCAGGAGCTCAACCACGGCGTCCGTACGCAAGGCAGTGCACTTCTGACCCTGGATTCGCTCCTCTCAGTGTGTTCCCATTGACCCTGGATTGGTCGACGGTGCACCTTCCCCCTCCCCTTCTCTCGTCTGACGGTCCCTCTCTGTCCCTGGATTGGATGGAGTGGTGACTTCCCCATCTTTCCCTCCTGCTGTTTTCTTGTGTGGTTCACTTCTGGCCCTGGATTGGCCGGAGGTGCACCTCTCCTTTTTGGTTTACTCCTTGGCCCTGGATTGAGGGGTGGCCTTCACCTCCTGTCCCCTTCTGTCTTCTTTCCCCTTCACACGAGTCCAATTGCTCCTTAATATGGTGTTACACCTTCGTGAAAATGCAGGGTCAAGACAGAGTCAAGAGCAAACCTGTCACGAAGTTGATACAACCCTACACCTCACAGCACTGTTGGCCTCGTTGGGGCTTCCCAAGGAGATTTCCACTAGCTATGGATTGAATGAGACCATTCACATGGGATGGACGCTTGGCGATTCTCATATAAAGATCGGCCAGCCTGACGTGCAGGACTATGAGATTGCACAGACGAAAGAAGGCGAGATTGCCCCTGGACCAGATTGGCGCCACCTCTTTCGATGGCTTACTGCTCAAGCGCATGAGATCATTGATTTCGATAGTGTCTATGTAATCACTGACAACCGGGACCTGGTTGGCTCTGATGTTGCTTCACAGGATGGGCTGGCGCACTGGCCGGTCGTTGCTGCTTGGTGGAGTGAGCGGGTCAAATACCTTGGCCCGTATCAGGAGAAGACAACGGTCTTTTTTGTTCCCATCTGCGGTGATACTAGGCTTTCATATGTCCATCCAACTTGGGCTGGCACCTTCATTCTTGATGCCTGTGTGTATCTCTTCCCCACTATTAATTTTGCGCTCATTGACAGTGACTGCATTCCGGTCACCATCTTTGAACTAGAAGAGCTATGGCGATCCTGTGACTGTTTGCCGAATAGTGATGCTGAGATGGCACTGCCTCACCCACGACACTCGAGCCCAGTGGCCCCTGCGCACAAGCGAGCTCGGTCGGTTGATACAGGCCGGACAGCGCAGCAACACGGGCCGCCGCGCAAACTATCCAAGTCCAGAAGTGCTGAGAATCTTGCAGTGCAGTCAAGAGACCGACTGCCAGGGAGCCACTCCTCAGTGGACTATGATTATGGTGGATCTGATGATGATAGTTCTGCTGTCCCCTCCAATGACCCCCCAACTAGTCCAGTGGCCTCGTCGCATTCTACTGGTGGTACTGATGAATCACCTCACAGAACAGCGCCGAGTACGGGAATCAATATTGCCCCAGCAGCTGGAGTTCTCTTGGTCAGTGAAGCTTTCACTGAAATTAATGCAGGGCTCGTTAGTGTTGAGGTCGAGGCATGAGGTCCCGGTGTCATACGCATCGCTTCGTGAGCCCGACAGGGACTCCGATGATCTAGCGGAAGAAGCCACTAGAGGCTATCATCGACATGTCGAACGCTATTTGGCAACTACAAGCCCTCCTACTGACATTGAAGCAGCCGTGTCTAGCGGTCCCCTTGCATCTCCACTGCTTGGCACGTGGACGGAATTCTCGGCTGACTGGTGCCATGCGTGGAGCATCCTTGGGCAGTGGTCTAGCTGGGTCACCTTCCCGGTGCTTCAATCTGGGCAATGGCCACAGCACGGCCACCTGCGTGGTATAGCTGAGGGACAAAAAGGACGACAGCCCAACTTTCATAAATGGGCTCGACCGGCTTATGAGCAAGGAGCTTTGCCCACCCTTAGCTTGCTTCAAGGCGATGTTGCTGTCCGAGTCCTTCCAGGAGACAAGATATATTATCAAGCCATCGAGATTGGGCCTAATTATATGCGGCCAGTCATCTTATATGGCTTTGGCGCCTGCTAAGCGCAGAATGCCAGAGCGGCTTCAAGGCCTTGCAAAGCACGGATTGCTTCCCATGGCAGCTGCACTTTTCGGCACGCCTGACTGGCACCCTTAGTGGATGCACCCCAACTTCCTCCCTGTGATAGGTCTGCGCTAGCATGCAAAACTTGCACCTTTGCCGCTTACCCATCACCAGGTTCTTATGCTTCTGGGCATGTGGCAGCGAACAGAACCGGTTGTCGCCTGTCGATCGTTCAGAAGGCTGCCGTGATCGAGTTTGGCCCTCCGGAACAGTTCAGGGACATGCACTCGTGGGTGATCCTGCTAGCAGATCAAAGCATTGATGTGTTACAGCAATACTCAGGCGCTATACTGGAGAGTGCATCAATCGGGCATTGTTCCGCAACAGGAAGCTGACTTTCTGGCGCAATGGGACACTTGAATCCTCTCTAACTCTAACAAAACAGAGTGGATGGAGCAAGGCTATGGTCCAGGGGGGTGTATCGAGCCGGAGTGTGCAAGACGATAGTGACTACCTGAAGAAGTCTCACTGCTCTAGTGAGCAGTAAGGGTGCCGACGTCCAAAATTCAGGCAGGAATTTCACCCATGCTTTCCACCCATAGATCGATGCAAGAAGTTGATACACAGCATACTCAGGGGTGGATTTGGTCCGCCCTAGTTGTGTCATTTTCCGCTTCCAATCGTCAACTATGGCTAGCGATGGACCATATACCTTTTGCTGAGAGGAAGATGTCCCGTTCTTGATCACCACGATCCCGCCACCAAGTTCGCTACAATGTACTCGGATGAGCTGATCCGTCATTTGCCTATCAGCAAATTGTGCGATGTTACCACCCTGAAGGAAAATACAGAGGAGGCCCGCACATGCGAAGCCTGATTTCCATTGACTTTCCGACCCCAGAAATGGAACCTGAAAACGCACATGTGGTATCAGCTGTCTCCTTTCCCTAGCTCCAATGCGGCGATTGCAATGCAGCACCACCCAGGCAACATTCACCAATCCGTCGCTACTCCGCGCTACTCCGCTACTCCGTGCTATGTTTTAATTCAATTACCGAATGTAATTGACATGATATCGAAACGATGGCGGAGTGAGAAAGCCTTCAATACTTCACCTTCCCACATCTTTCCCTAAGCAGATTCTTACTCCATCCCGTTTTAAATTTATACTATTAATTAAGAACGGGATTGACTGAAAAGATCATAATTCATCTTCTTTCTGGGCTGAAAACCTCGGTAGGAGTCTGGAGGGGCAAGGGGGCCCAACAAGGGGCAGTAAAGTATTGAATACAATCATTCAAATGGAAGCCGACCACCTGCGCGAAAACCCACAAACTCCGCAACAGCAAGAAACACTTCAAGCAATCACCTAAGGCTGCAAAAGGCTGATGCGCCTTTTTTTAGCAGCAAACAATCAAGCCACCAGACGAAACGAAATAATAAAAAGCTACCTTCAACTGGGTTCAAGCAGCAACCTATGCACCCGCTTGCCCCAACAAGAAACAAAATCATCTACAAAACAGCTTGCTCCGACGGACCCAATTCTGGGTCCGGAAAACCTTCTCAAAACCGGCTTCGCTCAAAAGGGCCTCCCTAGTTGCCCTTCCGGTCGCCATAAGCCACAAAGCTTC